TGAGTGTCATGGCCATGTCACACCCAAAGGACAGTTTTTCATGCCCCCCATCCTCAGGATCTGGATATGACACTCTTGACACCCTTTATGGGAAAACAAGGAAGCCTTCAGCCTAGGGCAGCAAGCCATATGCCAACCTGAAATGTTTCTGATAAAAATTATTCCTTCTGTTTGGAGAAACCAACTGTAGGAAGTGTCATCCCCACTCTCTAGTCACTTGCAGCAATCCTGCCTGCACATACTAATCTCTGCTTCCTGAATAATAAAATAATATTGTTTTCTAGATTTTTTGGAAGAAATTTGAAACATAGACTTTTTGTTCCACAATGTTGAGTATAAGCTTAGAAGTTGACATAGAACATGCCAGTGGCTTGATGCTGACTGAAAAAAAAACCATTGTGTTTTTGTAATATGTCTCTTGTGTTAATTCAGGCATCTAGGAATGGCCCAGAAAGGAGCTCGGCCCCATGCCTTTGAAGCTGTTTGCAGAGCATGGCAAATGGACACTAAGAACCTTGCATTCTCCCAGGACAGGCAACAGTCTGTGCCACTGAAGTGACTTGCTAAATTTTCTGGACTATCCCATAAATTCTCGGAGATATAAAAACACTAAATGTTTCTTCTTAACAGCAGTGTTTGGGGGTTTTCTCACCCATTTTCTTTTGACTTTTTCAGCTCAAATATTGTGGAAATCTTAACTGTTTGTGAACATGTCTCTGAGTGGTCTATGGTGGTGCATGCTGGTAGGATTTGCTGAAGGGGGTAGAGTCAGGAGGATCACTATTTTTCTCTAGGTTCTTATGGAGAGGATAATTTGTTGGTAAAATTTATACTTTGCCTGAAATACAAGTTATTTTTCTGTTTTCCAAACCCATCCTGAAGAAGAAAACTGTTACCTCATATAGATAAGTTTGAATGTGTTGGTTGAGAATGGTTCATTTCAAAGTCTATTGATAAATATATTATAAAACATAAAGATGTAGAAGACTACATGCTATAAAGTTAATATTATTTGTAACTTATTGATGAGGCTGGAGGTAACATTTAATGGTATAAATTCTTTAGCATAATGAATATTTTCCATCATTTATTTGTTATATAAAAACACCTTCATTGTACAAAGTAATTTTTCATTTGTAAGAGTAATCACATATTTTAAGAAACATACTTTTATATATTTGGGTATGTGAAATGTGTAAATGGATGAACACATATGGGTTCAACAGAGCCTGTATGGAGTCAGTTCTCTCCTTCCTTGTAATCAGATATAATCTGGATTGGTGTCAAGCACCCCTACTCACTGAACCATTCCTCTGTTCCTCAGGAAATATTTCCTGCTAGGTATCCTTACAATCTCCAGAAGAGTGGTTAAATATATATTTAAGAATTGATGACTGTATACCAACACTCATGACATTAATATTCAATTGTTTATGGTTCTCACACTGAAAGATAGAGAGCAGAGTGTACTGAGAAACGTGGGTTGTGTTCATGCCCTGGGTTTGGGCAGAAAATAGCTATAGTGACCCAGTTGTAGGAAATAGTGACAGTGTTTTCTCCAGTGAGCAAGTAGGAAGGTAAAGTTCTTTAGAACAAGCAGGCTGGAATTGGACCTGCCAGTCCATGTAGTAACCCATTTTAAATTATTTTAGGATGTCTTAGTCTGTTACAATCATTATAATAAACTCATAAAGTATAGGCTTTGTTTGTGTAGCAGACATTGCTTTTGCAGTTCTGTAATCTTTGGAGGACAAGATCCAGTTATTGGCAGACTAAATGTCTGGCAAGAGCCCACTTTCTGCTTACAGTTTTCAGCTGTGTCCTTTCATGGTGCAATGGAAGGACTCCAGTCTCTTGGTTCTCTTATGAGGGCTTCTGTCTCATGGCCTAATCATTGTCAAGTTCTCTCTTCCTAAATTGTCACCATGGTGGGGATTAGGTTTCAGCACAGGCATTTGGAAGCCACAAAATTCAAACCATTGCATGGAGTAGACAGCACTTATAAATATTTCAAAGACAGTTATAACTAGAGTGCTTAGTGAGCTTTTGAATAAATCTAATCCTAAATTATGGCAAAACTAGTGATTCATCATATGGGGCATTCTAGTCTACACTAACAGCAAAGAGTTGGCTTATTGGCCTGAGGAATGATAGAAATAATAAAATTAATGAATGTGTGGCCGTTTGAAAAGATGTAAACTTTCATGAGCAGGGTGCATAGTAAGAAGCCTAATAGTTAATGATAGTTATGTCACAGTCTATGATCTTTAACTATTGTCGCATGTCCCTCAGTCTACCGAGAATGCTGCCTCTGTCTGATGTCCACACCAGAGAATGGGCACCCAACCTACATATGTACATCTCTGGCCAGTCTCTGCTTCATGGAAGTATCCTACCATACATGGACAGGTGGTCAAAGCCCTTCCTCCTCTATGTGTGCATGCTCACATAGGAAAACTCAGTCTGAAGATGGGGAGGCTAATGAGACTGTGCAGTGCATCCTCCTTAGTTTTCCTGTTTTCCTCTTTCTAGTGTTCTCAAACAAGCTTGAAACTGATTTTTGTTTGCATTAATGCACCCACGCCTCCTCTTTGCAAGCACGGGCAATATCACTGAGCTATAACTATTTCTCTGTGTTTCTCTTCTGTTTGTTTGTTTTCAATAAATTAAAAAACAATTTTATTTTATGCACCAACCCCAGTTCCCTCTTTCTCCTGTCCTTCCATCCCACACCCTACCCATTGCCTAGGGAGGGTGAGCTCTCACATGGGGGATTGTCAAAGTCTGTCATATCATTTGGAGCAGGGCCTAGGCCCTCCAAAATTTATCTAGGCTGACAGAGTATCCCTCCATAGGGAATGGGATCCTAAATTCCAGTCATGCACTAGGATAAATACTGGTTCCACCGCCAGAGGCCCCATAGATTTCCCAGTCCTCCCAACTGAAACCCACATTCAGGGGGCTTGGTTCCGTCCTGTGCTGGCTCCCCAGCTGTTACACGGGGTTCCTTGAGTTCCCTCTTGCTCAGGTCAGCTGTTTCTGTGGGCTTCCCCTTTTGCCTGGTCTTGACCCCTTTGCTCATCAATGCTCCCTGTCTACAACTGGATTCTAAGAGTTAGGCTCAGTGCTTAGCTGTAGATCTCTGTTTTGCTTCTGTCAGCTACTGGGTGAAGGCTTTAGGATGGCATTTAAGGTATCATCAATCCCATTATAGAAGGACATTTCAGGTAGCCTCTCTAGTATTGCTTAGATTCTTAGCTGGAGTCATCCTTGTGGGTCCCTGGAGATCTTCCTAGTGCCGGATTTCTCTTTAAACCTGTAATGGACCTCTCTAGTAAGGTATCTCTCTTCTTGCTCTCCTTCACTAATCTTCCCTTGACTAGATCTTCCTGATCCCTCATGTCCTTCTCCCTGCTTCCCTTCTCCTCAACTCTTGCTCCTACCTCTCTTCCCCCTCTCCCTGTGCTCCTGATTTTTTCAGAAGATCTTGTCCCTTACCTCTTTTCCAAGGGACCATGTATGTCTCTCTTAGGGTCCTCTTCTATGGTTTCTAACAATTTCCCCCTCAAAACTTCAACATAGAAGAGGTTTTTAATAAATCAGGTCTGTCCGAAGTATTGCAGTTCACCCTAACAGGTAAGCAGATAGTACTGGAAAGTCACAATAGAGACAAAGTCTATGGAAAAAGCCCAGATAATATATGCAAGAGTAATACACTTGTCTTCCTACAAAATTGCTGAGAAAATAATTGAAATTGCTCTATCATACCATCAAAACACTAATTCTTCATGAATTTTGAAATGTGTGAGAAGTCTTCTGCCTTGAAACTTCACCCAACAGATGACAAGTGACAACCGAATGTCATACTATATGGAGACTGATTTTACTGTGCTTTTGTTGTTTTGTTTTATTTTTCTCTCACTTCCATCTCCTTGCAGTGCACAAACAGCTATAATGTGGAAACAATATCCCTTATCTGTGGCTTCATATTCCTCTCACTGTTCATGCATGTTTGGGAGGCAGAGTGTTTCCCACATCTTTGTATTAGTCATTATTGCTGTAGTGACAAAACGTCTGACCAAACCAATTTAAGGAAGAGTGAGTTAGTTCATACTCTGATGGGATGTTAACTATCACAGGGCATGCATTGTGTCTGAAGCTTGAGATCCAGGCTACATTGGGTGCCAGTGGGAAAGCAGAGAGCAAGGAATCCTGATCCTCATGGAGCCCAGGACATGGAATGGTGCTTTCCACAGTTAAGGTGACCCTTTGTCCTGCAGCTAATCTAATTGACATAGTCTCTCACAGTCAGTCACAGAGATATTTTTGCCTAAGCAATTCTAGATCCTGCCCAGCTGACAATTGATATAAGCATCTAAAGTCCACCCTTTGTCAACTTGATGCACACACATCATTTTAGCTGATTATCTTCCACTTTGTCCCCATATACTCATGGCCATCTCATAGTGCAAAAATGAATTCAGATCACCCTCAAAAGTCTTTAACAGTTTCAACACTGAGATTTTGTTGTAATCACTTAACTTTGAGATCTTACAACATAAAAACAAATTGCACAGTTCTATGATACACTAGCATAGAATAAACATTTTTATTCCAAAATGAAAAAATGGAAGTGTAACAAGGAGTGACCATATCAAAGCAAGGTGAATACCCCACAGCGAAAACACTAAATCATGCAGTTCTACATAGGAGATTTGTGATGGAATCTTCTGGGTTCTAAATAATCCAAGTAGTCCTGCCCCTGATGGTGTAGGACACCTAGGCTGGATTCATTCCATGACTGTGCCTTTCCTCAATGTATATCCTATATCCCTAGAATTTCCAACATCTCTAATGAAACACAGGTACCATCTTTAAAATCTCATGGACACACTTCTGAGGGACTCTGATTTCAAAGAATGATCCTGTCTCACATTAACTACCCTCAACATTTCTCTAAACTGTGCAGCAGCCCAGACAAAGTCTGGAAAGAAACTCACAAACTCACTAGAGTCCTCTACTTCACCCTCTCTGGGGCTGGATTTTGCCTGGAATAGCTGTGTCAATTTGGTTTGCTTAGAAGAACAGCCAGGGCGAAGATCCAGTAGTCATTCTTAGAATCACCCTAGAGAATACATGAGGACAAAAAAATTAAGAATCTAATATTCATTCATTCATTCATTCATCCAATTGTTCCTTCATTCTTTCAGACAAATTACTAGTGAATCTGAGAGATGTAAAAAAATATTGAAGATGCAGAAGGTCCTGGATTGGGTCCCCAAAACTACTGATAAAAAGATAAGATATTCAGTGTGTATAACACATTTCCTAATGTCATCTCCAGCCTGTGCTTGAGGTGAGTCAGGGCTCTGCTCTGGACCCCAACTCCCAACATCCCCCTGCTTCTGTCTCCCTGTGCATCCTCTGCACCTAGAGAGGACCTGTCCCACCAGAAAGGATCACCCTGAGTCTGGCCCACCTCAGCCTCCAGTCCTCTCCTGCTCCTGCCCTGTGTTTGAAGTAAGTCAGGGCTCTGCTCTGGACCCCAACTCCTGACATCCCCCTGCTTCTGTCTCCCTACGCATGCCCTGTGTCTAGATAGGACCCAACCCAACAGAAAGGATCACCCTGAGTCTGGCCACACGTTAGCCTTCAGTCCTTTCCAGCCCCTGCCCTGTGCTTGAGTCTTCAGTCCCCTCCTATCTCTACCTGTGCATGAGATTTTCTCAGACCCACCTGCATCCATAGTGAGATCCATTGGAGTATTAGACGTGCTTGAACACACTAGAAGAGATCCTTAGACCCAAACAAACCTGGAGAGGAAGAGACCCCACGAGCTCCCTCTGAAAGAAAGATCAGAAGATGGCAATATAGAAACACAGCCAACAACAGAGGAACAAGTATGACACCACCAGAGTCTAGAAATTCTACAGCACCAAGAACTGAACATCACAACACAGAAGAAACAGACAAGGATGACCTTCAAAACAACCTCATGACAATAACAGAGGTCCTCAAAGAGGATATGAGAAAATCCCTTAAAGAAATAGAAGAAAAAACAAACAAAAAATGCAAGAAATCAACAAATCTCTAAAAGATATCCAAGAAAAAACAATCAAACAGAAGAGAAGAAGGAAACAATTCAAACAGATCAAGATATGGAAACAATAAAAAAAAAACACAAACTGAGGTAATGCTGGAAGTAGAAAGCTGAATAAACAATCAGGAACTACAGATGCAAGCATAACTAACAGAATACAAGAGATGGAAGACAGAATCTCATGCACTGAAGATAAACTAGAGGAAATAGATTTGTTGACAAAAGAAAGTCTTAAACCCAACACATCCTTAACGCAAAATATCCAGGAGAAATGGGACAAAGGTTAACAGAATGGATACGAAGATAGAATTCGTCCTTCTGCTGCATACAAAAACACACCTCAATTTCAAAGACAGATGTTACCTCAAAGTTAAGGGTTGGGAAAACATTTTCCAAGCAAATGTTCATAAGAAGCAAGCAGGTGTAGCTATACTAATATCTAACAAAACAGACTTCAAACTAAAATCAATCTAAAGAGATGAAAAAGGTCATTTCATATTCATCATAGGAAAAATTCCATCAGGATGAAGTCTTAATTCTGAACATCTATGCTCCAAATACAATGGCACCCACATCCATAAAGGAAACATTACTAGAACTCAAATCACACATTAAACCCCATACACTTATAGTGGGAGACTTCAGTATCCTACTCTCACCACTGGACAGGTCCACCAGACAGAAACTTAACAGAGAAACAATAGAACTAACAGAAGTTATGACACAATTGGGTTTCATAGACATCTATAGAACATTCCATCTAAACAAAAAAGATTATACCTTCTTCTCAGCACCACATGGAACATTCTCTAAAATCGACCACATACGTGACAATAAAGCAAACCTCAACAGATACAAATAAAATTGGAAAAACTCCCTGTATCTTGTCAGACCACCATAGCTTAAAATTAGAATTCAACATAAACATAAATTGCAGAAAACCCACAAACTCATGGAACTTGAACAACACTCAATTGCATCACCCCTGGGTAAAGGAAGAAATAAAGAAAGAAATCAAAGACTTCCTAGAATTCAATGAAAAAAAAGACACAACATACACAAACCTATGGAACAATCTGAAAGCAGTTCTAAGAGGAAAGTTCATACCACTAAGTGTCCAAATGAAGAAACTGGAGAATTGCCACACTAGAGAATTAACAGAACACCTGAAAGCAATAGAAAAAAAAAAAAGAAGCAAACTCACCCAGGAGGAGTAGATGCCAGGAAATGATCAATTTGAGAGCTAAAATCAATAAAGTAGAAACAAAGAAAACAATACAAAGAATTAATGAAACAAAGAGTTGGTTCTTTGAGAAAATCAACAAGATAGGCAAAACATTAACCAACCTAATGAAAAGACAGAGAGAGAACATGCTAATTAACAAAATCAGAAATGAAAAGAGAGATATAACAACAGACAATGGGGAAATCCAAAGAATCATCAGGTCATACTTTGAAAACCTGTACTCCACTAAATTGGAAAATTTGAAGGAAATGGATGATTTTGTGAACAGATATCACTTACCAAAATTAAATCAAGAACAGAAAATGATTTAAACAGATCTATAACCCCTAAAGAAATAGAAGCAGCCATAGAAAGCCTTCCAACAAAAAAAAAGTCCAGGGCCAGATTGCTTCAGTGCAGAATTCTACCAAAAATTCAAGGAAAAGTTAAGACCAATACTCTTCAAATTGTTCCACACAATAGAAGCCTCTTTTTATGAGGCTACAATTACCTTAGTACCCAAACCACATAAAGATACAACCAAAAAGGGAATTACTCAACAATCTCCCTCATGAACACTGATGCAAAAGTACTCAATAAAATATTCACAAATTGAATCCAAGAACACATCAGAAAAATCATACACCATGATCAAGTACACTTCATCCCAGGGATGCAGGGAAGTTTCAATGTATCAAAATCCATCAACGTAGTCCACCATATAAACAATATGAAAAAGAAAAACTACATGATCATCTCACTAGATTCTGAAAAAGCATTTTACAAATTCCAACACCCCTTCATGATAAAGGTCTTGGAGAGATAAGGGATAACAGGAGGAAACCTAAACATAATAAAAGCAATACACAGCAAACCAACAGCCAACATCAAACTAAATGGAGAGAAACTCAAGGCAATTCCTCTAAAATCAAGAAAAATACAAGGATTTCCACTCTCTCCATATCTCTTCAATATTGTACTTGAAGTTCTTCCTAGAGCAATAAGACAACAAAAGGAGACCAAGGGAATACAGATTGGAAAGGCAGAAGTCAAACTTTCACTATTTGCAGATGATATGTAAGCAATCCAAAGAATTCTACCAGGGAATTCCTACAGCTGATAAACACCTTCAGCAAAGCGGCAGGATACAAAATTAACTCAAAAAATCAGTAGTCCTACTATATATAGACAATAAACGGGATGAGAAGGGAATCAGAGAAACATCACCCTTTACAATAGCCACAAACAACATAAAATACCTGGGGTACCTCTAATCAAAAGGTGAACAATTTGTATAATAAGACCTTTGAGTCTTTAAAGAAAGAAATGAAAGAAGATACCATAAAATGGAAAGATCTCCCATGCTCTTGGATTGATAGGATCACCATAGTAAAAATGGCAATCTTATCAAAAGCAATCTAATTGGCTCAATGAGATCCCTATCAAAATACCAGCACAATTTTTCACAGACCTCAAAAGGACAATCCTCAACATTATATGGAAAAGCAAAAGATCCAGGATAGCCAAAACAACAGTGTGCATTAAACGAACTTCAGGAGGCGTCACCATCCCTGACTTCAAGCTCTACTATAAGGCTATAGTTCTGAAAACAGTTTGGTATTGGCCAAACAGACATGTAGACCAATGAAATCAAATCAAAGTTCCTGATATCAACCCACACACCTTTGAACACCTGATATTTGAGAAAGAAGCTAAAACTATACAATGAATAAAGAAAGCATCTTGAACAAATGGTGCTGGAGTAACTGGATGCTGGCATGTAAAAGACAACAGATAGATCCATATATATCACCATGTACAAAACTTAAGTCCAAAAGTATCAAAGACCTCAACAACAATCCAGCCATACTGAGCCTCTTAAAGAGAAAGTGGAAGTAACCTTGAATGAATCCTTGAATGAATTGGTACAGGTTATCGCTTCCTGAACATAACACCAGTAGCACAGACACTGAGATTAACAAATAATAAATGGGACCTCCTGAACCTAGAAGCTTCTGCAAGGCAAAGGACACAACAGGCAGGAAGACAAAAGGCACCCAACAAATTTGGAAAAGATATTCAACAACCCCACATCTAACAGAGGGCTGATCTCCAAAATTTACAAAGAACTCAAGAAGCTAGTCTCCAAATCACCAAAGGATCCAATTAAAAAGTGGTGTACAGAACTAAATAGAGAATTCTCAATAAAGGAGTCTAAAATGGCTGAGAGACACTTGAGAAAGTGCTCAACATCCTTAGCCATCAAGGAAATGCAAATCAAATCAACTCTGAGATACAATCACAGTCCTGCCAGAATGGCTAAAATCAGAACTACTAATGACAATTTATGCTGGAGAGGATGTGGAGAAAGGGGAACACTCCTCCATGGCTGGTGGGAATGCCAACTAGTGCAGCCACTATAGAGATCTGTATGAGATTGCTCAGGAAAATAGAAATCAGTCTACCACAAGATCCAGCAATTCCACTCTTTGGACTATACCCAAAATGTACAATCATACAATAAGGACATCTGCCCAACTGTATTCATAGAAACATTATTTGTAATAGCCAGAACCTGTAAGCAACCTAGATATCCCTCAACTGAAGAGGAGATAGAGAAAACGGAGTACTACTCAGCGGAAAAAAGAAATGGAGTCATGAAATTTACAGGCAAATGGATGGCACTAAAAGAAACAATCCTGAGTGAGGTAACCCAGTCACTAAAAGACAACATAGTATGCACTCAATTGTATATGTATTTTAGACATGGAGCAGGGGATTTCCAGACTACAATCCCACCGCCAAAGAGTCTGGGAAGCAGGGAGAACCTTAAGAGAGATATGCATGAAACCTCATCCAGTGGCTCATGGAAGCAGAGATAGACACCCACACCTAAAAACCGAACTGAACTCCTGGAACCCACTTGCAAAGAGGAGAGATGAGCAAAGGATTGAAGACAAGATGGGCAAAACCCACAGAAGAAGCTGACCTAAACAAGGGGGAACACATGGACCCCAGACTGATGACTGAGAGACCAGCATGGAACTGACCCAGACACCACTCCCCCAAATCCTGAGTGTCAGAGAAGAGGCCTCAGCAATGTATGGGACCTTGGAGAGTAGATCAGTATTTATACCTGGCATACAAATGGACTCCAGGAGTCCATTCCACATGGAGGTATGCTCTCTCAGCCTGGACACATGGGGGAGGACCTAGGCCCTGCCAGAGATTATATGACAGATTCTGAAAATCCCTCATGGAAGCTCTTACCTCCCTGGGGACCGGAAGGGAGATGGAGTGGGATGGGGGCCTGGGAGTGATGGGGGGCTGGAGGAGGAGGGGATGGAAAGGGAACTGAGAGTAACATGTGTAAAAAGTTAAATAACAAAATAAATATTAAAAAAACATTTCCTGAGTACCTGGAATACAATGGACAGTGATAAGTAGGCAGTTACACCTTTATAAATTTTGTCATGATTATGGACCCAAGCCCTATTCAGTTAGGTACAACTCTTCGATGTGCTTCTGACAAAGTGCAGAGACACATTTTGTGGCTATCAACCTCCAGACAGTTGCCTTCTGGATGATAAATTTCTACAATAGCTAATAAACATGTCAACATATAAGTGCAAACACAATGACAATGTCTGCCAGAGAGTCAAAATTATTAATAACAAAAAACATCAAAAAAAGCATATAAGGGGGATAAGTTAATCTGGGAATTAGGAACAAGAAATAATCATATTAGATAAGATTCCACCTTACCTTTTCTATGTCACCAAGACCCTCTGTGTCCAGAAGGACCAGGGTATGGGTGGGCTTGGTGGGGTGGGGCACACACCACATCCAGATGCCCTTGGTTTCAGACTGCACTGTGGAACCCAAGGAAAATCCTGAAGGGAAGAGAAAAAACAGCAAAAGGTCACAGCAGGAAGACCAAGGTCAGTAGCCTACTGAGAATGGTTAGCAGCAGAGCTCTGTCAGGTGCTTACTGCTAAAATTTGTGCCTTCCCCACCAAACCCAAATGCACTACAGGGGCCAATTATGCAGAGAGTGAAGCCTCCAGTACTGCCAGACAAAACAAACATTTGACTTTGTCATTGACTTTTCCCATGCTTTAGTCATGGTGGTGGGCAGCTGACTGGCCTAGTAGGCTCCTCTCTCCTGCCAGGTCCCTGATGGACACATTAGCTTTTGGTTTGTTTGTTTTGGTTTTGGTTTTGAAGTCCTGTCCTCCCTTAGTTTATTCCTTTGATGACCTCTGTGCCTATTGCCTCATCAGTGTGAAACAACCCTTAGATTCCCTTGGGAGATAGCAGGCACATGACACCTGTTAGTCTTTATTTTCAAAAGGTTAAACCCACAGTAGAGAGGTTTGAGAACTCCTCAGAATCACTGGACAACATGCTGTGCCTGTTGACCCAAGACTCTGCCCATCTGTCATACATAATATTTCCCTCCTTCAACAAAGAAAAGAAATGGATGGAATAAATTTCCTAGTATACCATACTTCAGAATTGCCTTACTCTGTGATCTCCACAGGAAACACTGTAAAATCTGCCCTTTTCTGCAGACATCTGTACCTGATTTCTGCTGACTCACCTTGGGAGAGGCTGCTGCCTATGTGGCCTGCTGTAAAAAGGGTAAATATGATGAGAGACCATTTATCTCAATCACACGGGGTAAATAAAATATTTCAAAGTGAGTCACCCACAGAGATGAAAAGTGACATTCACGTGTTCATGCACCTTGGTTGGAAAGTAATCTCTTCCTTCCTACTATATTATGGGAAATTGAGAATATAGTTCAGAGTACTAAAGCATTTTTTAATCATAGCCTCCTTTAACAGAGCACTGGGAAATTACCTTAGTTACCAAGGTTATCTTGAGTAGAAAATAAAAGCAATACTTTTGTAACTTGTCAGTCTAATACCTGTGTCTTAGAGTGCTCAAAATTTTTAAAATTTATTTGAACCAAAAAAAGGAATATATCTTCCCCGATTGATGGTCAAGTGTTCCTTTACTAGAAAGATAAAGTCAAATGGGTTGTATGGAGGCAGAAGCAAAAGGGGGAAAAGGGAGAGGAAAGTTGAAGGAAAGGAGGAGAAGGGGAAACAGATAACGTGATGGAGAACAGGAGAAAGGAAAAAGATAAGAAAGGAAGTAAGGAGGGGGGAAAAAAGAGAGAAAGAAAACTGGAGATATGCCTGGATCGAAAAGTCTTGCAGTCAAGTTTCAATCAGAAAAGCTACTGAGTCACTGATGCAGAAACCAAGTCACATATTAGGAAGAAAACTTCCTGTGGGCTTTTAAAGATGGAAACACCAAACAGAATCATGAGAACAATGGCCCATAGGCCAGTTAAGAACAAGAGACAACTTAGTAGGGGAAAACAGCACACTTCACATCCTAGGAAATAAAGATGCCAAAATGCTCAGCATTATTTATAGTGGATTAAATAGTATACAGTTCTGCAGTGCAGAAGTCAGAGAAATTAAACATGTATCTAATGTTCACAGTTTGGGGATGATGGAATGCTGGGAATAGCACCAGTGCTCATCAGCAACAAATGGATAAATGATACATGCTATCCTCAGACAGCAACATGACATAAAGTAGTGAAAATAAACAAACTATGGATACTTGTGACAACTACAAGACACACAGTGTCCTCCTCTGGCCTGGGAATATACACACAATCTGCCTACCACACAAACTCATATACTCTCCTACACATAGAGAAAGAATGAATGTGTTCCCCGTAAATGAAGGTATTTAGGTGCTTCAGGGAGTGTGTGAGATTATGATTTGGGTTCCTGTGGTTACTCAGGTTTTATTTCTTGATCTGGGTATTGATCTGGATGCTCACTTCATATTCATTAAGTTCATTGTCAATAATTCATAAAAAGTGCTGCTGGCAGTCTCAGAAAGAAAAATAATGGTGTTTTCTCTCATTTGTGGCTCCTTCTTAAGCTGACACCCCACATCATACATGTAAGGATGGCATGAAAGCAGGAGTGGACACATAAGAAGGAAGTGGGAGGGAGGGAAGAAAGGAGGAAGGAGAGGTTATGGGGGAGAGGATCTGCTCAAAAATATATACATGCATGAAAATTCTCATATGCAACATAATATAGCAAAGTAACACAATAAAGCTTTTAAACAGATTTACCATGTAATACTAAAAAAAAAAAAAAAAAAAAAAAAAAAGAAGCAAGAAAGCCAAATCCCCAGAGACTGGGTGACAGTCTATTTTGGCTGTTGCATGTTAAGGACCCTACTATACATCTTTCTTCAGCCCATCTGCTTTCTAATAGGACAAGTGGAACAATATTCATACTTGGAATGTTCTTATCGTTTGGGCAAAGGTACAGAAGAAAAATGGAACTCTGAAGTTCAGCTGCTGATCAGGCCAGAGTAGAGGAGTGAAGAGGAATGCTGTGGTCTTTTGATGAAGTTGAAAGACAATCATTCTACAGAAGAGTGTGATACTTTCCCATAGGTTATAAATTATAAATTTGATGATCAGAAGAGGGACTTTTCATTAATGAGAGGAATGAGCCTTGAAAACTGTGCTAACCCCACCTAAACTAATCCAAGGCAATGGTCCCCACATGTCCAAAGGACACTCACCATGGTTCTGTCCTGCAAGACGGTTCATGAGATAGGACTTTCCTGTACGATATAAGCCGACAATGGCCACCACCACCAGAGGCTGAGATATCTTCTCAAGAATCCTTATAGCCTCTGGATTTAGCGTCAGCTGCCCTTTCCAGTTTTGTACCAGACAAATAGGTGCCTCCATGGTCCACTGAGATGCCAAGCACCCTGAAACTCAGAACAGTCACTCTTTGAAACACATGATCTCAAGGTTGTCTCTTATGAGTTTTCAAGGCAACCAATCAGCTTTTGTTTGTCAAACACATATATCAACTCCCGAATATTTATAAAGGGGGAAAAATGAATTTAGCTTTTTACAACCCATTACAGCGCTTAAAATATGGTATCTTAGAATTCCCATTTGAGCTATGAAAAGGACGGCCTGGCTTTTTAAAGAATAAAGTGAGTAAAGCAAAAGACTGATGGATGAGCCCTGAGTGCATTCAGGTTTGGTAGAAAGTGGAGCAAAAATACACGATAAACTCGCAAAGTAGGCAGGAAGATTTCCTGGCATAATAAAAGCATTTAAAGTCTCACTCAGCATGGGAAGTTTACTGAGTACTGACCATGTGTTGGGCACTGCCTTAAGTAGGTAGCTATTTACCAAGAAGTCAACAGAATGTGGGCAAATTTCTGCCTTGGTGAGTCTCTCTTCAAATGGGAGAGAAAATAGCAGAGAATGAACACATACTCGCACATGCACGCACACACACACACACACACACACACACACTTTTTTAGAAGAAAACAAGTGAAGAATGATATAAAGACATTGGAGGCTAGATTCAGAAATATGTAAACAGGGACGACTTCACCGGAATAAAGTGAAACCTTGACTGACTCACCTAGCACTGGCTCAGCAACAGGGCACAAGTCCTCAGCTGACTAGGCTCATTCACTGGGCTTCCTCCTGCTCCAGGCTGTTTGGAACAACCACTGTTAGAAGTTGCAAAATAACAGAAACCCAGGCACAAGTTGAGAAGAAGGGAACTGAAATCGAAACCACTCTCCTCTCCTGAGGAGTCAGTAGATGGGAGGGACTGAGGAAAATAATGAGTTTCTGACCTGAGTTGAGCTAAGTTGAGCTAGAGGCTTTTCCCAGATTCCTCTGGACTTTCTGAAGTTAACCAGAGGACAGATCTCACAGACTGAGCATTGCTGTGTCCCCTCCACACCACTTAAATCAGATCAAATTAAACCGCAAGTGGTGGTTTACACCTGCAAACCTAGCAAGCAGGAGGACTGCCACGAGTTCAAGTTCACTCTGAGCAAGAGAGTCAATTCCCATCCCTGTCTCAAAGAAAAAAAGCAAAGTAAAATCAGGTAAAATTATGCATGCATGTGCCACCTTACTGATGCAACCCTTGGCACTTCTCAGATTACACTCTGCTTTCTTGTGCAGCACAAACCTAACAGAAACACCATGCACAGACTTGTAAATGTGGATGTATGAACCAGCATCTAAGAAAGAATCAGTGATACAGAGTGGGGCTCTCAGATACAGGATAGAGCTTTGGTGAAGAGACACCCAGTGTAAGTTAGTGCTATACTTGGAAAATGGGGGGTTTGCTCTTTTCTCTCTCTTTTTTTTCTCTTTAGAGGAAAATTGCTTTCTTTTATTGTCATGGTAGGTTTCATTGTTGTTTTTTTTTTTAAGAGATGGGATCTCATAAGCCCAAACCGTCCTCCAACCTGGACGAGATGAAAGTGTTGAGATTACAAGCATAAACCATCCTAGGTGATGGTGTGAAGTGCTCGGAATTAGACCCAGGTCTCTGTGCGTGCTAGGCAAGGACTCCAACAACAGAGCTACTTCCTCAACCCCTTTAACTATTTTTTTTAATTTGTCATTTGATAACTGGATTTCATTCATTGTTGGGAACTGCCTACTCCCAACCCTCTTTAGTCCCATTTAGAAAGGAAAGAAATTATATGGGAAGCTGCTGTTCCTTTCCAGGGATCATGTTCCATCACCACTGAACAGGAGCATGCAGAATCACACAGCATTCAAGTTCTTCTGTGGTATTCCCACTCAGTAACTGTCATTCAGTGCTCTGGGTCCCCTGACATCTTGGATCTAGACAGCTGTGTCTGCAGTGCAGCCTGCTCCTTCCCCTCCACACTTTCAGAACACTGGGGAAACGACCCCTCTCAGATGGAGCAGCGCCAACATAACAGAGCCCAAACCCAGGCTGTGCATCCATGACAAAGCAGATGGCCGGATTTCCCCTAGCAGAACAGCCCTCCCTTCCCCTTTTCCTGCATTTACCAGAGGACAAGGGAATTAGAAACTGAAACTATGTCCGGATGTGAACCTGCTTCTTTCAGAGTCAAAGATGAATGCTCAAGCCCAAGCCCTGGGTATTTTAGCCTTCTTATTATTCAAAACGAGTCTTCGGTTTCTTTAAAATGCTTATCTGTTGTCAGCTCCATGTTTAATTCTATAACTGAAGCTTCCATCATAAAACATAGTGAGAATAGAGACAGCTGATATTCCCAGTGTGGTTTGTTTGGGAAGGAGAACATGTGATTTAGTCAAGTCGGTCAGTAGAGCTAACAACACTGGGTTGTTCCTTCCCTGCCTGACTCACAAGAAATTCTCTGTGTGCTTCCCCTGGCTTTCTGATGACTTCCCAGACTACTGTGTCTTTCGTGGCGACTTATGCAGTGAACTTGAGCATCCCTATCTACAATCACACAGCTTCAAATCCTCCCAATACTAAACTCTTTTGAGCTCTGATGTAAAGCTGCAAGTAGAAAATTCTATTCTAAGAAAGACTCCTTTTTCACAAATTATTTAAAATATTGTACATGTGAACTGGGCATAGTGACACATGTATATAGTTGGAGGTGGGGACTATGAATCAGGAGTACAAAGCTGAAACACGATAAAATAAATGACCCAGAGACTAATATTGGGATTCTAACTTTAAGCTGAAATTCACAAAAGCAAAGCAGTGGGCCACTAGCTCTTACTCTACCTCAGGCTGAAATGGCTGATCCTGTTTCCATGAGCTCTCACCAAGCCTCAAACTGATGCCTCTCCTGAGTGTGACTGGAAAATGAATGCCTCTCTGAGACCTTGCTTCTGTTTTATATAATTCCCTAGTGTTGGGATTAGAGGCTTGAGCTATAATTCTCTTTTAGACTGATTCACACTTGTGTAGATCTGGGTGGCCGTGGGCTCACAGAGATCATCTAACTCTTAATCCTAAAACCTAGGATTAAAGGTCTGTACCACCACCTTCTAACTTCTGACTGCTGGGAATAAATTTGTGTGCCTGGCTTCTACAGCTTGTTGCTGACTTTGCTTTCTGAATCCCCAGGCAAGCTTTAATAAATCATAAACAATATATCACCACACAAGGCTCTGTAGTAAGCTTGAGGCTATTATGGGCTTCATAAGGTTTTAGATATATGCATGCTATATTGCCCATGCTCAACTCAGAAGACTGCTTGATGTATAGGACCTCTTTTTTTCATGTAAGACAAAGTCATGTTTGCTTCTGCATATGCCAGGCTGGATAGCCTGTGAGATTACAAGGGTTCCCCCATTTCTGCCTACTATCTCACCATAAAATCATTTGAATTAGAGATTTCACATGGATTCTGGAAATCCAAACAATATCTTACGGTTGTGTGGTCAAAGCAGACCTAGATGCAGCTCAGAAAGTTGTTTTTTCTATAGTAGAAAGGAAGGTTTCTATGAAACCACTCAAATTTTCAATAGAGAGAAAACCACTCCTCCTTCTACAGGCATTAGTGAGAGCATCTTCAATGCTCCATCCCCTTGAGTGAGTGTTCTGGTACATCAGTGCCCAGCCTGAATAATAACCAATAATATAAAGTGATTACTATAGCCATATAGATGCTATGGGGTGACATTAAAAACATGCTATAATCAGACTGACTTAGCAGTTAATAGGGTCCCAGATGAGACACAACAGATACTATTATATTATTAACTGCATTTATATTATTATTAACTATCCTCACTGCTGACTCAGTTGTAGTCCTTATGTAATAAATATGAGTATTTTTTATGCTCACAGTTTTTTCTTGGTCATAATAAATGACTACATCTCCCTAGTGGATTAACAAAACAGACCATGTGACTTGCTATGTAAATGAATTGTGAGTGGAAGGTATGGAATTCTTAAAGGCATTTCAGATTCTCGCTATTCATGCTTTTTCTGATTTGTACCCCACCATGAGAAATGGAAAGCTCATATACAAATCATGCCGTTCAGCAGATCACAAAAGGAATGGACACAAAACTTACATTTGAATCTAACCCAAAACCTAGTATATACTTTCTGCAGTTCATTGAGTTATATGAAGAAAAAAATACACATCACTTTTCACAATCCATTAACATATTTGTCATTTTATTGTGTAATATTACTACAGGCCAACCTGCCTAGAAACACTTCTGCCTCTCTTCCAAATAGAGGAAGATTCCCCAATTCATTCACTCTTTCAGGTGGCTATTTCTCACTTCTGCCTTTCTTTGTTTGGGCAAGTTTCTAGGACAGTGCCGAGAATTTTCCAAATGAGGCAAATCAGAGAACACAAAATTCCTTAAGTGCCAGAAGGTGTGATTCTCTCTATTGACAAGGAAGAAATTCTGAATAGATGCCAATGTAAAGAAGTAGTTCCTTTACCTTCTCCCAAACCAGACACTGGAAGGATTTCCCATAAGCAACTCACACTGAAGGATCTCTAATGAACATTTCTTCAAGCAGTTTTCACCATTTAATTAAGAGACATCAGCACAAGAAATAAATAAATAATATTTGAGTTGCTTGTTTCTTAGTTGCCAGTATTTATGTAGCAATTTAGTTGAGAGATGCATCTACTTTTCAAAACTTACTTTTTCTATAGTGTTCTATGCAGTGTGTGTGATTTAAAAAGAGAGAGGGGGTAAGGAAAACAAATACTCCTCTTAAAAGTTTGCATGCCTGTCCACTAGGAGACTGTCCCACACAGCAGCTTTGCACACTTCAATCACTTTCTCTCCACTGCACACACACGTTTCTCTGCATACGATTGGAAGAATTCCTGTCCTGTTTTGATCTCTCAGGGAACAGACTGTGTACAGGGGAAATACAATAGCTAAAGTTTGTGTGTATTCTGTGACCACAGGGAAAGATTGATCTGCATGAGTGGGAACCAGAGAGTGGAATAATTCTAAGGAAAGCCCACATAATATCAAAGTATAGCTGTGAATGCAGTTTAGTCATTAGTCACTCAGGGGACGGTGTCTTTGCCACTCAGCCACCCTCAGCTGAGCATCTCTTCTTGCATGTCATATTGTTGCTGATAACCCCAGGAACAGCCTACTTAGCGTTAGCCCTGTGTTATTGCCATTGTCCATTTCCCTGGTTAGAGACTCATAGCAAACAGCTGAAGAGAGTGTCTGCATCCTAAAAATTCCAAGATCTACTTGAAAAATCCAAATAGAGATGTTTTGGCCTCCCTTGATGGTCTGTAATATCTGATTTGTGAGTAGGTTATTAATCTCCAAGCACAAAAAAAACTATACATGTTTCTCTAATACTTGTCAAGGGCAATATACTACAGGCTATGAAGTTTTTTAGTCTTTGACTTTAGTAACAGACCAACTGAAATTTGCTAGTAAAGATATTCAATTGCATGTTTACTATTTTGCTTTGTTGTTTTTGAGACTAGGATTCTTTGTGTAGTCCTGGCTGTCCTAGAACTCACACTGTAGACCAGGCTTGCCTTGAACTCAGAATACACCTGCCTCTGCCTCCCAAGGGCTGTGATTAAAGGCATGTGCCTCCACCACCTGTGTTCATTTACATTTTCATATACATTATTATTCTTCCAAGGCCTTAAGAACCACTGTTTGTTTCCATTTTTAAAAAATGGAAGAAAGAAAGTTGAAGCTTCAGAGATAGCATACTTGGTAAAATACTTGCTATTCTAGCATGAGAACTTGAACTCAACCTTTAACACTTACAAAAACATATGAACAAAGAGGTCCATGCTGGGCATCCCACTACTGGGGAGATGGAGCTTTCTAACCAGACAGTCTATTCTAATCAGTGGGTCCCAAAAAGAGACCTTGTTTCAAACACAATGGATGGGTCTTGAGAAATGACACCCAAGACTGACCTCTTTTTTTCAATTTTAAGAATTGTTCTTGTTGTTTGTGCTTATGTGCACATTTGAGCTCGTGTGGGCACATGTTCAGATGCGAACGCCAATGGGTAACGGTACGCATGTGGAAATCAGAGGACAATGTACAAAAGGAAGTTCTCTCCTCCCACCATGTGAACCATGGACAGGATTTTATGTCATGTGGCTTGATGGCAGACACCTTTGTCTGCTGAGCTGTCTCTCTGACTCTAATGACTCCTTTTCTCTTTACTATGAATTTGCTTTAGTGCGTATTAATTGCTTTTATAATTATAGAAGCACATATTCATGACAATTGTGTGGTTAAAATAAATAATTCATTGCAGGAGACAACCCCTGGGTACTTAATGCTTTTTGCCTCATTCACTTGGTACACTGATGTTTAATAAATAGCAGTTATGTAGAAAACTCTTGTATTAGGCTTTAGCTAGGCACAGGTGAGTTACACCAGCAATTTAGATAGAAGAGTCTGCTTAGAATGGGGGATTGTGACAGCATGGGGACTTAGATAGGAACCAAGGTTATGACAGAGTTACTGACCAAAACAAAAGGGGGCATGCTTGTTCCTACAGATAAATCAGATAAATTATGATGTCTATAGCAGGTTGAAATTGGGCAATTTTAAACTTTATTCTATAGTAATTTGCTTCAAATATGCAATAGTCAGCACTGTGCACTGAGTTTCAATATGGTAGATGTGGGTGCCTTTACAGAGCTTGTCAGTTGTCCTAATTTGAGAGAACTACTGTAAGAATTGCTACTCAGCAGAGCAAGCCCTGATTTTTGAATCAGTAACAAAGGGGTGTCACGGCCCAAAAGTGAGTAGGAATGATGGTCAGTGGGGGTTGGGGTACGAGCCAGTTAGGAGAGGAAACAAAACTTCATACTCTTAAATGAACGGGGCACTGGGAATGACAGGCTCCATTGCTCAAGCAAGCTGTGCCCTGTTTCAGAGCCGGAGCCTGACTGTGTTCTCCTACTCCAGAGGGGAGCCTGACCCAGGTATCACTTTATGACCAATGCTCACTTCACAGAGCCTCACTGTCCTATTCCCCATGCTTCACATGGAAGCCCTCCTGAGACTTCAGAGAGCTTCCTTAGGTGGTGAAGTCACGTCACATGTAGATGACTCAATGTGACATAGGGTGTTTCTCTAACCAGATTCCTTGGTATCTAACCATGGGAAGTAGAAACGTTACTCAAGGAACCTCGACATCTGCTTCCTCAGCACAAGTGGATTTGAAGAAATGAGGGTGAAGTGATAGAGAGCCATAATGATGGTTGTAGGCGACAGAGTGAAAGAGAATCCTGAGTGGCTCAAAGAGTCCAGAGACCCTGCTCAATTAACCTGGGTTAGGCAACAGTAAGCAACAAAAAAAAATTAGAAACCCTGTCTCAAACAAGGTGGAAGATGAAGCCAGACAGCAGAAGTATCCTGCAGGTTCACTCACACACACCATATAAAGATTTCTTCAGAATTGAATTTTATTTCACATGGATAGAATCTGTTAAAACAATATTCTCCAACATTATAACACTAGAATTCAATGGAACATGCTTACCCCCAAGTAAAGCTTTAGTATGATATAACTAAAGTAAGTTTATGTTCTTCAAAGTAAAGCAAAATAGCAAATAATTGTTTGAAATCTGGACATAAGCATACAGCTTCATTATCAACATCCTATCTAGTCCATACCAAATCATCTCCATGTCAGTTAGCACTCATTAGTAAAGATGTTTCTTAGCATGGTCTTGGTCAGTTGTAAAATAGCAAGAAAAGCTACAATTCAGAAATAACCATAATTGTGCAACATATTCAACTGTGTGGTGACTATACACACATATATATTCATGTGATTCTAATAGTCCTTATAATCCATATTAATTTAAATATTTTCACCAATATTCTGGACATGTTGATGATTTAAAATCAAGTGATTGTTATTTTAATTTTTGCACAGGAGGCTAGTTCTCAAAAACTCCTTTAAGATGAAAATTTCAAATTAGTTTGCCACCAGATAAAATAAAAATGTCTAATTGCTCATCTTGAACAGTGTTTGGTTTCACACATAACATATGTACAGAGAATGTAAATTTAAATTCTGCTATAAGATATAGCTGTTTTAGACATTAGACTTCAAGACTGGTCTTAAGTCTTTATTTCTGAACATACCAAGATATTGTTTACTCTTTTCAGTTTTTTACAGAGAAATAAAAACCACAGAATTATTACCAGGACTGAAAATTCTGATAAATCTACAGTCCAAAGGTGGAATAAGATACAGTTATTTGAAATACATAAGCTTAAGTAATGTTTGGTTTCTTTTCACATTACCTAAATTTGAAATACCCTATATCTGAGATTCAAGAATGTAAGTATATATTGACAAGTTTTTATTATGGCAAAGAGGCAACATTAGTCTTCTTTGGAAAATCAAGAAAGAAAGAACCTATTTTTTTTTCCTTTTTTGAGAGTAGAATAATTCAATAGAAGAAAAAGAAAAGTCTGGTCCTCCAATAAAAGGGTCAGTAATTGAAGAGAGCAGTATTAATTTTTGCCAGTTAAAAGCATTATCCCTAGTGTCAGGAATAATGTAATACCATATAATTCTTAAGTAGTCACATATGTATATAATCACATATAAAAACACAGACACTGAATGACAACTAAACAACTGTGGAATAAAACCATTGTCTAACTCAGAGCATTAACAAGTCATTCATATTATAACAGCTTGTTTAGACCTGAACAAATTTTCAGTGTGCATATGGTAATTTTTAATAATGTAATAAAACTCTTGCTATGGTGTTTTATTTTGCTGAATTAATTTGAGGGAAAGAAGCTGGCTGCTTCACTTCATCTGCTTGAATACTAGTATACTCTGGATTGTATAACACAGATATATGTACAGAAACTTAAAAGGATCTTATGTCTTCAATCATTTAGTCTGTATCATTGGTATGTACTTGTAAAATATTTTACACTGTAAACATTAAGAGTTTTAGTATCGGGAATGGAAAGGGGTTTATACTCTACTACAGTGTTGATGGTGCATGTCTACGCAAGGCCTTTTAGTGATGTCAATCAGTTGGAGACAGAAGTTTATCAATGAATTGCTGCTGACATGAACTGTGCATAATGTCTACATAGCTTTTAAAAATTAATTGGATAGATTCATCAATGCTTTTCGTTTTTCACAGCAAGGGGAAACAAAAGGGTCGCATCTCCCAGGCCCTAGAGAATAGAAATATCTCTATAAGAGCTATGGATAGGGACCCTGGAGAAACAAAGCCTGAAGTAGAAACTGAGAGAGCAGTGACACTGGCCAGTTTCTGCTGTGTGGTAAGGGCACTGTATAAGGAAGAAGTTCCTCCCTGAGAAAATCCACCCAAAATAAATCTGCTTAAGAAATGCCAGTCTTCATCTCTCTGTGTATCAAAGATAAGTCATTTACATTTTCTGCTGCCTGTTTAGTTCCAGATTCATCCTCCTGGGAATGTGGTGAACATCCAGTAATACCAAACCAAGAAGACAAAGTCATATTCAAATGTATTGTAATAGGCATAGCAGGCACATGTGGACAGATGCATTTCATACGGCAATTTCTGATGTGGGCAAAAGACCACTGATGCTAGTATTAGTGGTGGGCTTCTGGGTGGCCTTCTGGGCAGCAGGCAGTGGGGGGGGCATGTTGTTGCCACACATCCATAGGCTGGCAAACAGTGCCCACCACATAAAAAAATTAATGGATTAGTTTTAATTATTTTACTCATATTGAAAATAGATTTTTTCTATCTCTATATATGTATGTGTATACACACACACACACACACACACACACACACATATATTTCCCTTTCCCCTACTCCTCCTCCGAGTTCCTCCCCACCTCCCCCTCCCACCCATACCCATCCCCTCAGACAATGACTTAAGGTCCACTGCACAAGATAGAGTAGTTTGTTTCCACAATGAAACTCTGTTGGGGAAAACTAAATTTTCACTTGTAAGTGGTTATCAATTGGAGATTGCTTCTGGGTTATGGATACGGGTGCATTTCCATGTCTCCTTTCAGTTATAGGACCCCGTCTGGTGCAAACACATGAAGGCCCTGTACAGGTTCTATGCACACTTTACCTCATGAGTTCATATATGCATTGATCATGTTGATTTAGAAGACCTTGTTTTCTTTCTTTTTTAAACATTTTTAACGGTTCCTTTCTATTTTTTATGTGCATTGGTGCTTTGCCTGCATGAATTTCTATGTGAAGGTGTGGTATCCCCTGGAACAAGAGTTACAGACAGCTGTGAACTGCCATGTGGGTCCTGGGAATTGAACCAGAGTCCTCTGGAAGAACAGCCAGTGTTCTTAAACTATGAGCAATCTCTTCAGTGCTAAGGGAACCTTTTTTTTCTTTGTGTCCCCTATCCCCTCTGACTCTTACACTCTTTTCTGCCTTGTCTTTGACAGTGTTTGTGAGCCCTATGGGGAGGGATTTGCTAGAGACACCCCATTTAGGGCTGAATTTTCCAAAGTCTCTCACTCTCTGCATAATTTCTTCCTATTTGATGCAGGAAGAAGCTTTTGTGATGGCGGCTGCGCAAGGCACTCATCTATGAGTATGAGTGTAGCAGAATGTCATTAGGCATCATTTTATTGCGACTTTGGGAGGGGAGGGTGCAGCTCCAATTGACGCTGTAACGATAAGCGACACACATTACTGAAAGTAAAACTAAGTATTTATTTTAGAAATTACTCACAAGATACCAAACAAGTAACCCAGATGAGCCAAGCAGTTTTCCGCTGCTGAACCGGAAGCCGAACTCCGGGAAAAGAGACCGAGACTTCCTGTGCGCTGTCTTTTATGCCTTCCCCCGTAACGCCCCCTAGCCATGCCCAAAAGTGGGCCTGGCTAGTGACGTAGTTCACCGCCTATGTACGTATACGTCTTTAGTCCTGCCTAAAGTGGGTGTGGTTAGCGGTGTGATATTATCTCATCTGTATGTGCCTCTAGTAAGTCACATGTTTAATGGCGGCATACAGACTTCCTCCTACAGGAGGGTATATAGTTTGGTTTTACTCTAGGCTCTCTGGGCTATCTAGTCTCTGGTTCTTGGTCACCCAAGCAGTTGTAGGTTTCATTCTGTGAAGTGGACCTTGGGTCAAATCAGATATTGGGTGGTTATCCCCACAAGCTTTGTACCACAAATGCACTAGCATATTTTGCAGGCAGGACACCATTGTAGATCAGAGGTTTGCAGCTGGACTGGTGTTTGCTATTCCTTTGGTAGCATGCAGAGTATCTTCTGGTGCCACAGATGTTAGCATGTAGGGTGAAGGTGCTATGGGCACCAGCTGGACTTCTCCATGTTCAATGAGTTGTGCAGGTGTTGTCACAGAGGCCTTGATATCAATTTGTGGAAAGTGTCCTATGGTCTTGGAATTTTGAAATTTAATAAATGAAGTTTACATGACATGGAGTTCAAAAGTAAATAACATGAGTAAGGAAGCATATCTACATTTTTCTAAGAAGAACTCTTCTTCCCTTTCATTTGAGTGCCTAGAATTTTCAGCCCTAGACCAAGAAACTTGCCAGCACCAGGCAATACTGAAACTAACACATTTCCAAACCCATCCAAGAGTTGTGCACCCAATGAGCTGTCCTGATTTTTATTTTTTTGAATCTCTCTTTGTAGTTGGCTTATCTCTGAGTCCATTGCTTCATATTTCATTTTAAATCCCTCATTAAGCATGTCTTCTTGGATCTATAAAAAGAAAAATACACTTGGAAAACCACACTTATTGAAGGTCAGGGGTTTGCTCTTGCAACTCAAATAGTTAAGGAATGTGTCTGTCACTCTCCCAAACCGTGCTCACTGATGCATTTGCCTGATTTCTGGGTGATGAGAAATGGTCAAAATAAGCTGTATCCTGTGGCTTCCTCAGCACCATTTACAAGAGTGGAGTCAGACAAGGCCAAACTTGAACACTATCTCTCTGAGGAGTTCTGGGGCCCCACACAGCCTTACCTTCAGCTTGTGTGCTAGCCTCTCCTCTTGCTCTCTCAGAAGGGTCTTCCTTTCGGTCTCCATCTTCTCCTGAAGCTGGGCCATGTTTTCCTTGTAGCTTCTCTCTTGGGCTTCCATCACCTGCTGCAGTTCAATCTGCTTCTGTCTTAGGAGTTCCTGCTCCTGTTCAGCTGCCTCCTTCTGAGCCCGCTCAGCTGCCCCGCAAGGGTTTAAGAGAGGCAAAATACAACAGTCAGGAGTGAGCTCTCCTTTCTTGGGCTCAGAGACATAGCTGATTTTGAAAAATGCAAGGGAGAAGTCTAAATTATAGTCCCCATACCTCCAGAGCACATTTTGGAATGATGCTAAAGGCATGTGTGACACTAGCTGAGTGAGACCATACTGGCCTCTTAATTTCAAATTAGTGGAGTGTGTAGTCTTTAGAGGAAGACCTTTCTGACCATAAGCTCCCTGTGAGAGCTAAGTCCTCGCAAGTACCTTCCATGGCCTTCTGCCTATCAGTGAGGGCTTTGTCGGACTGCAGGATGGAGTCCTCAATGGTAACCTGCGACTGTAGGAAGCTCTGAAGGACATGATTTGCCTGGGGAAATAGGAAAATGAAATTGTCAGCCCACAAAAACACTACACATTTTCTCATCCTTCTTAGGATGCCCCCCATCCATTTCCTTCCCTTTCACAGTAGTAAGTCAAATCTCTTCTGTAATTCTTGAAAACCTTATATGGTAGTCCTCTCCCAAGTCTCTCTTTCCAAACAGAATTCCACTTCTCAGCCCAGGTTACAGCCACAGGGACCTAGGCAGATCCTCAAAACTGTTCTTTCCAATGTCTAATACACTCACATATGTCCTGTCTGCTAGAATCCTTGTGTTTTTATTAGCCGGGGAAACACCCGTTGTTAATCCATCTTTGTTCTGTGCCTTCTTTGAGAGGGAGCATCACTAAGTTGCCTTCTGAGGTCTGCATGGCAGCTAAATACACTGAGTGGCCCTACCTGCTCTTCAGTGGCCTGACAATGCATTAGTGTCTCATTTGTCCCATTGCACGACTCTTAACTGTGTACAACAATAGTATCTTATTCTGAGGATTGAATTGTCTCTTCCAAAGTGGCAAGCACTTCCAAGTTACTGATACAATGCAAGGTATTAAAATCGGGGCACACTGGCTCGTGTCTGTAATACCAGCACTGGAAGGTTAAGGTTGTCTAATTGCAAGTTCAGTGCTGTGGGAACACCAGACCTTGAGCAGAGACCCACTTCCCCTTCTGCCTGGGAGTTGGCAGCTGTAAGACAATCTAAAGACATGTTTGCTAAAAACAATACAATGCCTGGGGGCATTAAGTTCCTGGAAAAGGCCTGCCTACAGAAACCACCCTGACCTCGACCTTGTCCAAAGACTAACCGCCCCTTCTGCCACGCCCAGATCAGTTTCTGGGGTCAGGGCAGAACCAGCCAGGGTAGAGGAGAGAGCAGAAGCTTCTCTGGTGGGAGCCTTTCTTGGGAAGTTTTCTTGAACCTTTTTGGGGCCTGCTTAAAGTTTTCTTTACATCATTGAACAAGTCTCTGTGTTGTCAATCCCCGACACCCTCCGCACGTGTTCTCGGACACAGGCCGCGCAGCAGACTCGACAATTGGAGGTCCTACCGAGATCGTGAAAGTGAGGTAAGTGGACGGGGTTAAGAAACTATGGGGAATAGTTCCGGGAAGCTAGAATCATTGCAGTATCAACTAAAAAAGTTACTTAAAGAACATGGGACTGCAGTCAAGTCTAAAACCCTAGAAGGCTTTCTAAAATCGATCGAACGAGCCAGTCCATGGTTCATTACTGGGGGAAACTTAAATATTCCAGATTGGGAGGAGGTTCGCCGTGATCTTCACAGACTTTTACGAAAAGAGGGATCTGAGTCCTTACCCCCTACGACATTCTCCTTATGGAGATTAGTGAGGGGAGCACTTTTGACAGATAAGGTTCGTCACCGCCAGGTAGTTCAGGACACAAAAGAGGCTTTTTAGAATTACAAGAGACTGAGACTCAAGCCTCCTTGAGTTCAGGGGCAGAGAGTGATGATGAATCATCTGAAGGGACCCTGACTGAAACTAGAGGCTCCATTGTTAGTGAGGATGAGGAGGAGTCTCTTAGTAACAACAAAAAACGGGTAGAGATCTCCGGGCGCGACCCAAACAGAAGAACTCCGGTCAGAATCGGTTATATCCTTCTCTATCAGACCTAGAAAATGGAAGTAGCTCAGACTCAGACTCGTCACAGTCTGAAAAGGAACGGTTACTTGCTGAGATCGCGGCCCTTAAAAAAGAACTAAAAAGATTCGATTTAAGGAAAGACAGGACAGGGAGAGAAACCCTTCCCCATACTCTGAAAAAAGGGACTCCTATGAGATAACTCAGTCCTTCTCGGACCTGGAGGGAAGACCCAGAGGAGGGGTCCAATGCTGCCCGGTGGTGGCCCCAGTAATGGAAGTTCCAGACCCAAACAATGCTGGACAGGTCATTCGGCATCATAACCCTTTAAATTTTAAGGATATAAAACAACTTAAGGAGGCAACTTTAAATTATGGAGCACAGGCTCCCTTTACACTTTCCTTAATGGAATCTTTTGCGTCTCTTAACTTGACACCTAGTGATTGGCAGCAGCTTTGCCGAGCGACTCTATCAGGGGGAGATTATTTGATTTGGAGAGGTGAGTTTCAGGAAAGATGCAGCCAGACAGCCCAAAGAAATGCACAGGCCGGACAGCCCCAGAGAAATGTGGAGATGCTTACCGGGAGTGGTCAATATGCCACCATTCAGCAACAAATGCAATATGACATCGCAGTTTATGCCCAAGTGGCAGCAGCGGTCCAAGGGGCTTGGAAAGCATTGCCTTCCAAGGAAGGAGGGGATCATCTGTCCAAAGTCCTTCAAGGACCCTCTGAACCTTTTCAAGACTTCGTAGACCGTCTCAGTCAGGTAGCAGAAAGAATATTTGGGGGCATTGGGCCTGCGATGCCGGTCATCAAGCAGATGGCATTTGAAAATGCAAATAAGTATTGTAAGGAAGCCCTTCGCCCCTATCGTAATAAAAGTCTAAATGACTATATCCGGATCTGTAGGGACATTGATGGGAACTTCATCCAGGGCCAAGTGTTAGCTGCTGCAATTCGGCCCCAAGTGGGGAAAGAAAGACCTACTCTAGGAGGGAGAAAAACATGTTTCAGCTACGGTAGGGAGGGACACTTCCGTAGAGAGTGCCCTCAAAATAGTACTATGGGTCTCAAGCGACCTGGTTTATGCTCCCGTTGCCGAAGGGGATATCATTGGGCCAAAGACTGCTACTCTAAAACTGACCGGGAGGGAAATTTCCTTCCTGCTAATAATAATCAGGGAAACGGGAGGAGGGCCCCGCCCCAGGGCCCCAAAACCAATGTGTACGGGGCAATGACCCCTGCTCCGGGCAGTGGCAGGATTCATTTTCTCCTCCAGAGCAACCCCTTCATATCTCAGACCTCCTTAGAGCCACCTCGGGGAGTGCAGGATTGGACCTCGCTCCCTCTGCCCGGGCAATCCTAACACCGGAAATGGGGATCCAGGCCCTCCCTACTGGGGTGCATGGGCCATTGCCCCCAGGCACGGTAGGACTACTCTTGGGACGGTCCAGTACTATTCTTCGAGGCATCCAGGTACACCCCAGTGTTATAGACCAGGATAGTGAGGGGGAGATTAAAATAATGACATCAGTGGGCAGTGGGGTTGTTGCCATCCCTGCAGGAGAACGGATTGCTCAGTTACTCCTTCTCCCTACAGCTCCTTGTGAGGCTAGAAAAATTAAAGAGAAAAGGGGCAACCAAGGTTTTGGAAGTACCGGCCCAGCACACTTGGAGGCAGGTCATTTGGTTCCTTCCACGTCCCCTTGGAATACTCCTAGACCGTAATAATTTGTCTGCTATGGAGAGACATTGGAACAAACCCTCCCAGTCCTTGGGATGGGTCAAATGGAAGGACTTAATTACAGGAAAATGGCAGCCACCCACCCCCTATTAGCTAGGGTCCGAGGGGCTGTTTGTGTTTTCCCTCCAGGAAGTGAGAAGCCTATTTGGGTCCCCGAACGGTGCATCAGGCATGTCGACCCCAATACTACTCCGGATAATAGGAATGCTCACCATGATAAAGATGATCCAACCATTGTTGAACACTCAGGTAAGGGAAATATGGGCGTTGGTGAGGATTCCCCCATGTTGATGCCAGTTAGTCATTCCAGCTCCCTGTTCATCAAATTTTATAACACCAATAATACATTGGGAGCGGCTGCCGCCAATGAGATTAAAAAGTTAGAAACTAGACATTCTGAGTTTCCCCCTCCTAAGCCTGATACCAGGGTCAGAAAGTAGGGGAATCCAAGAGATTGCCAGCGGCATACGCCTTTAATACCAGCGGCATACGCCTTTAATCCCAACACGCCTTTATGAGGGAACATCCTGGGTTGAAAGTTGGATTGAAAATGGGTGAATAGCCGGGCGTTGGCAGCACACGCCTTTAATCCCAGTACTCGGGAGACACAGGCAGGCAGATCTCTTGAGTTCAAGGCCAGCCTGGTTTATAGAGCAAGTTCCAAGACAGCCTCCAAATAATACAGAAAAAAAAAATTGGTAACAAGCCGGGCGTTGGTGGCGCACGCCTTTAATCCCAGCACTTGGGGAGGCAGAGGCAGGCGTATCTCTGTGAGTTCGAGGCCAGGCTGGACTGACAGCCTCAAACAATACAGAGAAACCCTGAAAAAAAAAAAATGGGTGAAACAAAAAATTTGTAACAGTAAAAAGGTACTGGTATTAAGTAAAGAAAAAGAAAAAGACAAAGGTATATAGAATGGAAAATTTTGTTTACCTTTAAGTTCTATTTTGTGAGTCATCTCTAAAAACTTTTGGCCAAAAGCTTGGCCTCTCTACCTTGCATCTACAGTTACAAGGAGTAGGTACAGCTGTACCCCATGACTGTAGCTCAAATGGAGGAATGATAAAGAACATACAGGACTTTTTAACCTTTTAGTTCAAGGATTGGCTGGAGTTGTTCTTTTACATAGATTTCAATTAAGGTAGCTTCATTGCAACAGACTAATCATGACCTAGGGAAAAAGGATGACTGAAAGATGCATGTATGTTCTGAATGTATGGTGTGGCCACACCGGTATGTATGAAATTGTGATTGTGAATGCATGAGTGTGAACTGCTTATATGATTAAAAGGATACTTAAATCCCTTCAAAAATAGTTAAGAAGCTACCTAGATTGCTTGAAATATAGACAAAAGGAACATCCAGCCAGTCTGTTAATGTTTTAACAGAAAAATTTAAGATACAAATGAGGCCTTGTCAGCTAGTGAGAGCTCTACAGGTTAGATTGGGAAAGACTGCTCACAGACTTCAAATAATTTTCAAAAGTTATTTGGACACAGTATAGCTTACAATCTTTGAGTGATTTTCAGAAGTTTTTGGGAAATATTTAATGGATATGTCCTTTTTAATGGGCATCTACAAATAATCTAAGTAGTAATCCCAATTTACCTAGATAGTCAACCAAGGAGGGTAGACAAATCCTTCTACTATTATGGTCCAGCTTCAACAGTTCAAAAAAAAATTTTTTTTAGAAAATAAAAAAGGGGGAATAATGTCCCCAGTCCCCATATGACTCATCAAATAATGCACTCCTCATTTAAAAATTTTATAATGTGAATGCCAGTGAGCTTCAGACAGATTCTGGCATGATGGAACTTGAGCAACCATTGCTCAGGTCAAATGGAGACATCCATGCACTAAACAGTGGAGAAGACCCTAATTTGGGGTCGAGGGCATGTTTGTGTTTTCTTGTAGGAAAAGAATAATAGCTTCGGCATGGAACAGAGAAAAACTGGACCTGAGACCATGGGAGCCTACCTAAGCTAGTTTGAGTGAGATCTCCTAAATCAGTGTTCCTGACCCTTGCTGTCATCGAATCTAGAGCCCAAGAAAGAAAGAAAACAGTCGGTTCGAGATTTCCAGTTTCTCAACAGACCTGCTGCATCAACCTTCCAGACCCATGAGTTTTCATTGTGAAGCCAACAGAAAAAAAAAAGGACCCATTTAAAACACTTGGACATTCGTATGGACTGTGATGAGGGGCAAAAGCCTCTTTTAAGTAATTGAACAGGACATGGTCACTTGAAATATCAGACTTCATGGTTCCTGTTTCTGGAATCACGACTAGGCCAGTGTATTTTTCTAGAGAGGTGCAACTTGTCCTAATGCGACAAAAAGGAGACTTTGACTCAAGTCGCATAATCAGCTGACGTTAAATCAACAAACTGCATCACCACAGGAACAAATTGGTGCTCTGTGGATAGTGCAACAAGCCTATTGTTCATATTTTTCATAATGCTACATGTGTAACATCAATGATTGTACCTAATGTATCTGTGCAAGTGCACTTTCTAAATGCTTTCCTGAGCAGATCTTGGAACAATTGTAACTTTATCAAATTGTAAATCTAAGTCACATGCAGGTTACCCTTGTAACAGAATGTAAATCACGTACATGTTACCCTTGTAACAGATGAAGGCTGGTAGAATGTTATGGCCCAGATCTGGTGATGGGTACGGTGATGGAGAGGCGCTATGTCAATGGGGGTCCTGGAAATAGTGGCAGTGGTGGTAGGCATTCTGGCTTTATGCCGGGCTCAAACGTGCCTTGTTCCAGAGGCAAGAGATCCGTAACCAAGTATTGCTTAGCCTAGCCCATGGCAATCCCGATAGCCATGAAGGTTGGTTACAGATGATTTAAAGTTGGGGTGCTCTGATGACGGGCCACCTGTGGGGAAGACCCCTCCCGCCTAAGACAGGGGTTCAAGGTCCCCCAATGACGGGAAAGGGAGGGTGACCCTACTTGACCTAAGCCAGGAGTGCCTCATTTAAAAATAAAAAGGGGTGAATTGTGGGAACACCAGACCTTGAGCAGAGACCCACTTCCCCTTCTGCCTGGGAGTTGGCAGCTGTAAGACAATCTAAAGACATGTTTGCTAAAAACAATACAATGCCTGGGGGCATTAAGTTCCTGGAAAAGGCCTGCCTACAGAAACCACCCTGACCTCGACCTTGTCCAAAGACTAACCGCCCCTTCTGCCACGCCCAGATCAGTTTCTGGGGTCAGGGCAGAACCAGCCAGGGTAGAGGAGAGAGCAGAAGCTTCTCTGGTGGGAGCCTTTCTTGGGAAGTTTTCTTGAACCTTTTTGGGGCCTGCTTAAAGTTTTCTTTACATCATTGAACAAGTCTCTGTGTTGTCAATCCCCGACACCCTCCGCACGTGTTCTCGGACACAGGCCGCGCAGCAGACGCGACACAGTGCCACTCTGGCCTTGTTACATAGAACTCCATTTCAGAACAATACAAAGGGAAATAAAACCTAAAATGAGGGTGTTGGCTGTGTGGACATTATTTTTAACCACTATATTATTAATTGCATCATTATTTCTGCTCTCTGTTTGTGCCAGGATATTTCTTACCCTGATGAATCCAACTGACAATTTATATGTGAGGCAATATTATCACTATCTTATGTGTGTCTTTTATCTTCAAATCCAACTATTTAGTTGAGAAAAAAATTTACCTTAGCTAACCAATGGAAAAATATTCTACTCCAGTTAGGATTATTTATTCTGAACTACTTTGAGGAAAAAACTAATTTTATGACTTCTCTGAGAAAGAGAAGAAGAGAGAGAGATGGGGGACATTCTCATCATATCATATACATGTGAATATGAAAATTTCTTAATATAATACAGTACCATGTACAGTACCTACAGTGAAATATACAAACAATGAAAATTTTAAGTAAATAAATAAATAAAAATAGCTAACTCTGGATATAAAAAACCCAGAAGTGCACAGGTAGACATGATCAGCCATGCCCTCACAAACAGTTCAGCTCTAAGGAGGAATACTTCCTGGCAACCCTGTGACCCATCTCCCCATTGCTTATTCCTCATTCCTCACCTTCACTCCCTTCCTGGGCACTCGCTCATAGCCCTGCTCAACCTTCTTTCTGGCTTCTAAGTAGAGGCTGTGCCCACCAGGAACAGAGAAATCTCCATGTGAGATGCTCTCCCTCAGTGACTCCAAAAGCTTCTCCAGCTCAGCCTGGCAGTAACTGAGAGACGCTTCTTCGTTCTGTCTTATGAAATCTTCCTTCCTTTCCTCTATGGCAACCTGCCAAGGGATTGTAGAGACAACAGGAAAGAAGGCTGTTAGAAAACAGATGTGACTGTAATCTTGAAGGAAGTAATAGACTTAGACATGGAAATTACACCGTGGGTCAGGAAACTCTCTTCACTATCTGCCTAAGTAACCATGGATGCTCTATGCCTTTCTGGTGGCCAGGCTCATTTCCCATGAAATAATAAAGTCTAAGGGCAGGACCTTTGGCTCTGACTATTCACCAGCTGAACAATGGGACAGGTTTGGCAAGAGTGTTTCCTCCAAAAATTAGTATGGAGGAGAATGAACCCGTGAAAAAGCAACTCACACAGCAACTGGAACTTTGTATATGTTCATGAGCCCTTCATTAATTCCTACATGGAAAGCATGGGTGTGTGGAGACATAATAATAAAACTTGGTATCGTACTTATAAATTACAGTCCAAAGGAGTCTCCTGCTTGAGTTATAAGGCTCTGCAGAGGTTTCAGGTGAGAACTGAATTAAGTTTGCATCATGATTCAGTTTCCTGACACTCTAAGCAGAGCACCCTAATTTCCCTGCACTGTGCTTATTATCTACAGAACTGAGGTAATGTATATGTGTTTTTTCATGCTGATAAATTTATTGAAAATTCTTTTGCATCAATGAAAAATTAAACAAGTGCCTGAATTTTGATCCTGTAGAACCCTGTCAGTCACAAGAATCAAGAAAAATGACAAGGTCAAAATATCAGCCTTTAATCAACACTCCTCAAAGTGGGTATCAGAAATAAAAAAGAAAAGGCCCAGACACATTACCACCAAGTTCTTCTGAAACAGCTGGTTTTCATCCTTGAAGGAGTGCTCCATGAAGGTAGCAATGGCTTCCTTCTCACAGGCTGCATGCACATTGAGCAGTTCCTGGAGTGTGTCTGTGGGGAGCCTCAATAGCTGGGCCATCTGCTCATTGTAGTGGTCAGTTGCCTTCTGCACAGCTATAGAGTTCTCACGCTGGGCCAGAGTTGTCACTGCATTTTCCAAACAAGGCACTGCTCCACTATTGATGGAATCCACATAGGTTGTTACCAGAGTTGCCAGTCCTGATCAAGGCAAAGAATTTAGGGTTAAATATCAAGCTAACTTTTGTTAATTCCACATGACTCACGAATCAGCAATGAAATACTAAATTACTTAGGCAATGAATATTTCATGCATGAAAAGAAAGCCTATTTTGTTGGACCCACTCTCAAATGAAAATGATAATATTTTTTAAATTAAAGAATTTAAAGACAATAACAGCCTTATGTGAGAGGAACAGTTCTTCTGAGTACAGACATCATGGGACAGTCCAGAACCGTTTCATTGAAGGGCATGTGTATATAACACAATAGTTAATTTATGTTGGAAGGGTGTGTGTGTGTGTGTGTGTGTGTGTGTGTGTGTGTTGAGGCCAAATGATAACCTTTATTGGCTTGCTTTAATTTTGTATTTTACTGAGACAAAGTCTCTCACTGACTGGAAGCAGGCAAAACTGACTGACTGGATAACAAGCACCAATCATCTGTCTGCCTCTGCTTCCCAGTTACAGGTGTGTACCACCACTCTCAGCACTTTAAGGTCAATTCTGGGAATTGAACTCATGTTTGCAAGCTAAGCCCTACTCACTGAAACATCTCCTGAATCTGAAAACAGTGAATTTTTATCCCAAGCTCACAATTAACGTTCAGGAACCTTGGTCTCTTACTTTCTTTAGAACTGTTTTTCCTAACCAGACAACTACTTGAGTCCTTGTACATTATTTCAAGCACAGGTATTCCCTCTTTAATAGAGTGAGGTCAACTAATCTTTTGTCTTCCTAGTACTTGGTACAGACCCCAGTGGATTAAGAATTTAACAAACATTTACTGAACAATTAACTAATGAAACCAAAGTTTTAGAAGGAGTTTTCTGACTTTCCTATATCCTGGTCAGAAATGAAATCTGGGCCTTTGATAGGGGATGTCCACTGTATAACTAGGTGTTTCTCTTATTGGTTGATAAATAAAGTTGTTTTGGCCCATGAACGGGCACAATTTAGCTGGGTAGGAATTCCAAACAAGGAAGAAGGGAGAAGGGAGAAGAAAGACAGAGAGACAGATGCCATGTAGCCACCAGGAAGGCAAGACACCAGGGCATCACCTAGGTAAGCCAAGGCTACTTGGTGATACACAGATTAATAGAAATTGGTTAATAATTAAGAGAGAGCTAGCCAGTAAGAAGCCTAACCCAATGGCCAAACAATTATAAATATAAAGTCTCTGAGTGGTTATTTTATAGCAGCTGGGAGGACCCAGTGGGCAGAGAGAAATTGGTCCGGTGGGACAGATATAGACAAGAAAAGACTCCCTTTAAAGACCTTAAAATAAAGTGATACAGAAAAAAATAAGATACAACCAGGAAAAATGAAAGATGACATATGATATCAGGTCAGGACAGAAAAACACAAGCATCAGCTTTCTTCATCTTGCTTCTTTGATCACTAGTCATTTCTTAAGATATATTAGGTTTCAATAAGGCCCTATGTAGAGAGATAATATTGAAGAAAGACAAAATTTTCTAATTAACACAAACAGCTGTTTCTGTATATTCATAGGAGATACTAACATTTAATCAGTTTTACAGCAAACAATTTCAAAGTGGAGAGATATTCCCTGGGATAAAGGTCACTCACGGTTTCCATTGACAATGATTCCTTCTTTCAAGGTCTTGGCTTTTGCATTGGAGAAGATGTAAGAACAGAATACTTTTGATTGCACTTGGAAATTGTGGTCCAACTGGTCTTCTGGCATTTCTTCAACATGGACTAAGAGTTCTTTTTCTTTTGTAGGTCGATCAAAGACAAAACACTTCCGTTTCGGAAAGAAATGCCTGATGCATTCCCTAGGCATGTTAGACTTTTGTGCTTTGAGATTCCTGCCTGTAAAAAATATATGGAAGAAATTCGTTCTTTGAAAGGACGCCTTCAGATTAGGAGGCTGGTGTTTTCATTTCCAGAGAGTTCCTCTATCAATACATCTCTTGTAATCCACCACATGGCTCTTCATTTAAGCATCTAAGACAATGATAAATCTATTTCTGATTAAAAGCAAAGAGCAATGGAGTAACTATGAAAATAAAGAGGACAAGCTATCCATGGGAAGACAGCAACTAATCTTCTATCTTACTAGTACTTGGTAGAGACCCCGGTTGATTAAGAATTTAACAAACATTGACGGGAAAATTAACTAATGAAACCAAAGTGTTAGAAGAAGTTTTCTGACTTGCCTACGTCCTGGTCAGAAATGAAATTTGGGCCTTAAAATGAAGTGATGCAGAAGAAAAATAAGATGCAATCAGGAAAAAAGAAAGGTGATAAATGATATCAGGTCAAGACAGAAAAGCACAGATATCCACTTCCTATAGACACACACCATAAATATATTAGGAGATTCTGTTTCCTTGACAATTATGATGAATAATATTAACTTAATGTAATATAAAGACCTTTTCTCTCTCCTAAATCAGAGTCTGTTAGTCTTGACTGGGAATTAGAGCAATTCCGTGCCATATAAGTATTCAATGATCATTTGTTGAGAGAAAAAAAATGAATGAACGAATAAAATTACAGAGATTCCTCTCTCAAGAACTAAAAATATTGAATATTCGAAAATATATATAATGTCAAATATATTAACTGTGAGGCTGTCAAGAGAATGAGAGGTTAAGAAAGTAAAACAAAAGATTTGAATCTTATTGAAAGGAAATATCAATTTTTTTCTTACCTGTTCATAATATATCCTTTATCTGAAAAAAATCTTAAGTAGCTAAGTGGTAGTAAAATAAACTGTACAAAAGAATTACAATTTGGAGTAGATCACTTCATTTCATGTGATGTTATGTGATCTGTGTACTCTGTATGTATGTATGTACGTATTTTTGCATGTATGTATGTATAAAGTGATTGTTTCCATTCTGTTTAAACTCCAGCAGTTGAAGACTTTCCAGGATAATAACCATGGAAAACATACATCAATTGCTTTTTAGTTATCAGTTTACTGCTGGCTTAAAGTTCAAGTCAGAGTGAAAGGACATTTATGGCAAATACTGAATGAGGCAGTTAGAGCCTTCCTCCCAAGCCAGGCTCTTATACCTGGAATCAGCTTCAGGGCATTCTCCAAGTACTCATCTGCTGTGATGACGCATCCATCTAACTTCAACTCCAGAACGAAATCCCGAACAGTCCAGACAAAGTCTGGAAAGAAACTCACAAACTCATCAGAGTCATCCATTTCTTCAGAAAGTGAAGTGGATTTTGCCCTGATCAGCTCTGTCAGTTCAGTAACATAGCTGGGACCTTCGCTAAGGAATAAAAGGCAGCATTCTCCCCTCCCCCATCCCAGATTTCTCCTACAAACTCATTTTATAAGCACCTTCGTTGTCCCACATATCCTTTTCCTAAGTCCTAAGAACTGAGTAATATAAGCAATACTCCCAGTTGTCACTCTTAAATCAATGAAACATGGTAGTTGGGTCCCTGGAAGGATACTGCAGCTGCTCCAGGGCCTGGTGGTTGATGGTGCTCATGCTGTTGTAGACAAAGGTGCTGCTTAGTAGCACAGCCAGAGCGAAGATCCAAGAGTCATTCTTAGAGTCACCCTGGAAAGCACATGAGGACAAGAGACTTCAGAATCTAACCTCCATTCTTTCATTTGTCTATTTGCTGCTTAAGCAGAAACACAGCAGAGTAATAGGATGAAGAATAATGTCATGAAGAATAAAAAATTCATGTTTCCTTTTCAGTGTTGAAACTGTCCTTACCAGTTCCCATAACCAAAATCAATGACACTATCAATGTTACTACAGTGTTTAAGACACAGTGTATGTGCAATATCAACATACCATGTAATTAACAGGTTATCAATTATGTCATATTAGAGGTAGGAATATTTATTAAAATTCAACAATTATCCATGAAACATCTACAAAACACCAAGTACTACAATGATCTGTGTGAATGCAATTTTTCATGTAACAACAGGGAGAGGCAGACCTATAAATATAGAAATACAGCCATGATGATCATTTGTGCAAAAATCAGAATGGAATGCTAGTACATGAAGAAAATGATTAATTTTAGTAAGTGCAAGAAGGTCTATGTAACTTCATAGTAAGGTGACTGTGTAGCTGGGATTGGATGGCGTGGAAGATATCTGCTTCTTTTCAAATACATGCTAGTAAATGTAATTATAGATTTAAATAAATCACACATGAGGGAAGATCAATACTCAGTAAATAAAAATATTATAAGTGAAAGCCAGGAAAATAGTATTAGATACTACCCAATTCCATAAACTCCAGAGTCAATGGTTCTTATGCTGTCATCAGGGTAAGCTATAGTGTCTCTCCCTTGCTCTTGTGAAACATATGGACTTGGTTCCTATAAGACCTGATGTATCAGCAGGAAATCTTTGATATTCCCTATTTTGATATTCCTAAAATGTTGAATTTGGATAAATAGAAGCAAAGCTTAGGTCAGACTACAACTTGCTTCTACAAGAATTCATCTTGGTTTAATACAGGCTTGGTTACTGAGAATTTTATAACCCATGATGAAATGGTTAGCCCTCCATCCAAAGCTATTACTACTACCTGCAAGTTAGATTCAAAGTTCAATGACCTCACAGTTGACAACGCGCCTTCAACAATCAAATGGCACACAAAAATCAAGACCAGCCCCTATAACTCTCTGACTTACCTTTTCCACATCACCTAGACCCTCTGTGTCCAGAAGCACCAATGTGAATTTTGGCTTGGTGGGGTGAGGCACACACCACATCCAGATGCCCTTAGTTTCAGACCTCACTGTGGTGCCCAGATTGAAGCCTGCAAGAGAGAATAAGAAAGCAACATGCATGCATATGAATCCTTAGGATACAGGAGACAGAATTCTACCCACAGTGGCACTGGGTTGATTCAGGTACAAGATATTAGGAGGAAAATAGCCACTGCACACTCTTTATAGGAAGACTTAATTTTTGAAAGACTTTGTATGTTTTCTAAAGTAAAATATACAAATTTCAATACGTGAAGAGCTGTCCCACCTTGTCTATATGCTAATGGCACAGAGCCAAAATCGCCATATTAACACAAATTAAAATCAGATGATGGAATTTTTATAAAGAAGTACAGAATTCTCTACTGTTGTTAATAAACGTGTGAATTACACATAAAGTTTAAAAAGCAATTTGATGTCATCAGGAAACACTGAACATGCAAAAGTCCTGAAATCTAGATTCCCTTCTGGTTATGTTGCACTAAGAGAAGGTTGTGCAAATATGTGCCAACATAAAGGCAAGCTTGCGTGGGAAATTTTTTGTCCCCCAAAATAAGCTCTACAAAGAAATCAGTGCTCACCACAGCAGATGTCACCTTCACATATTGACATACTATGAACTTTTTAAAAAGTAATTCAATAATAATTATGACAAACTGGACGGATTTCTTAATTTGTGAGCAAAATAAGTCAGAGACATCAGAATACATCCAACACAGGAATTCTGATACATTAAAATAGACATATTGTTTTATGTAAATATGTATACATCTACTGCTTAAGAAGTTTAAAAGTAGATCAAAGTGAACTGATTTTTATAGATGCATAGTGAGATTTTACAATTGCTTTTGTAAATCAGTGGGGGAAGTTTCATGAAAATAAGAATATTGATAAGTCTTGGGAAAGTATAAGATGGTAAGAATAAAGTATTTAGATGTTAACAAAGTTTTATATTTTGACCTGGTCAGTAGAGAAATAAGAATTATCCTTATTAATTATGTCATACACTGTATTTTATGTAATTGTGTGCTCCGTTACATATATTTGAAAAGGCTTAGGAGAAAACATGTATATAGTTGTTTAAATGTCATGATGAAGTGAGGCAGAAAAATAAAAAGATAACCCAAGTAGAATATCATAAACTCAAATCCTCCCTCTTTGCTCTCCCATTTCTTCTCCCTCCTTCTCTCCATTTATCTCTCCTTCTCTCTTTTTCAGCTTCACAGAGTAGTTTTCAAAATCCAATTGCCCACCCTTCCTTTCCTTCTTCCCTTCTTCCTTCCACCCATCTTCATGATTTTAATAAACAAAATACAATGAACTGCGTTTGCATTGACTCCATAGTAAACCTAAGATGAGAAAAATGGGAACGTGATGAGAATTGATCTGAGCAGGAGAGGATGGTGAGTTTGCATTGTGGATGCTTCTAAGCAAATGGCCTCTGTCCCTCTGTCTGAGGAGGCACTCACCGTGGTTCTGTCCTGCCAACCTGTTCATCAGGTAGGACTTCCCTGTACGGTACAGTCCTACAATGGCCACTACCACCACAGGCTGATTAATCTTCTCAAGGATGTTTATTGCTTTGGGATTTACCCTCAGCTCTTCATTCTCATTTTCCACTAGACAGATAGGAGCCTCCATGCTGGCACCAAATGCCACGGTAACCTGCAAACACAAAAAAAACTTTCTCAGTTGAGATCTCCAAGCCACCTCTAGTGGCAGGTCACTTGGCATGTATTTATAAAATGCGCTCATGAACTTAAGTTTTTGTTTATTGCTTATTTCATCTTTGTTGTTGTTGGAGTTGGCTGACAATGTTTCAGGAATCTCTCTGGAATAAGCACTCCAAAACCAATGAGAGCTGGCTGTTTTTAACTTTTGGTTAAGAGGAGTGTGATTGCTGTTCGTGCTACACTCTCCTGGATTCTTCCTTCCAATAAACCCCTTCAATGAGAAAAAAAAAAAAAAAAAGAGTGTGATTGATTCCACACCACAGGGAGCCAGCGTGCAGCTGGTACCACGGAGATGCGCCAAACCTGCGTTGGGTATTCAGTCTGTCTGTTTCTTCAACCCCAGGCAGCCCATGGGGAGGGAGCAACTAAGCACTGTGGTGAGAAAGAAGCTCTGCCTGGAGCCTGGCATTAGGTCCCTCTGCAGTAGAAAGGACTTCGCCCCCTTATGGTGAAGATGTGCATAGGATTGCGCAGCCTGGAGCAGATGATCCAGTTGTAACCGGGCATCCTCCATGCCTGGCTGTGACTGTTACTCCGCGAAAGCAGCGCTGTCCACATGCCCTGTGACTACAGAGCCGCTTCCTGGCACCACCGCCCACGAGCCTGTGTCACCTTGCACTCAGCGAACAGTTTGTGTGCGCCCTGGGACCTCTAGACCTTGCTGCAGCCCCTTAGAGATGTGTACATTGGGTACCGAGTCGCAGGGAACTCACCTGATTGCAAGGGACGATTCTCTGCTACCGGGGCTCAGCACCCTTAGGCTTGCTGTGGCGCCTGGTTCCTCGGTAAAGCTCTTTTCTTTAAAAGGTCGGAGTCAAATAGGATGTTGCATCCACACAGCTGTGGGGATAGAGAACTGAAATCGAAACTACATTGGCTTGTGCTTGCTTTCTGAGTTTTGCACCGTTTCCAGGAAAGAAGGCAGAATCTGTGGGAGACAAGAGGAAAGTTCATAGTTTCCTGAGAGACGATCAGACGAAAACGAAAGCAAATTTGCTGATTCTCCAAATATTGACTTTTATTGGCGAATAAGAGTGTTGCAACAAGGATGTGCTAGACCCTGCCACAGTGAGCTGTTAACTTATTCAAAGAACCTGATGCAAATGGAGATTTTTTAACTTAAAATTTTTCAGCTCATATGGGATATTAATACTGTACATATTAACAGGGCAATGGATGTTTCCACGCATGTATACAGATTGTATACATCACATGATGTATGGTGTAGATTGAGTTAACATAGTTACCTCTTCAAGCAGCTAGCGTTACCTTTTGAGATATGCATTGCACTGTTACCATATTCCTCTCTGTGCATGGGTGAGAGTGTTACCACCGGGAGCTTCTTAAAGGCAAAAACAAAGCAATTTCAAGAGATGTTTTGAAACAATTAAGTGAGCTTTGTTTTAGGTAACTTTTCCCAGATGCCAGCTAACATACAACACACTTAGCTGTAATATTTGGTTGGTTAAGTGTCTTGGTGCATTTCATTTTGGGTGATTTTGTGGTTGAGATGCATCCTCGTGTTTGGTTAAGGAACATATATATTTAGACCAGAACAGTGTCCATGCTTGCTGCCTCCCTAGGATTCCCTAAGAGTCATCTTACTGAGCTAAGGAGAACAAAGGACTAGGACAGGCCTGAGAATCATCCCTTAGTATTTCTTAAGGTTACCCTTCAGTGGGGAATGTAGGCTTGACTTCCCATTTGCTAGTTTATTGACGTACACTTTCCGTCAAACAATGGAAACTGTGAACCCTGTTGACTACTGGTTGTCATGCTCAGTGCTAGGACATGAATGCATTCTGTTGAATGGAAGACACAATGATTTGGGCAAATCCTAGGGAAAAAAAAATGTGTTGTTGTTGTTGTTTTTCAAGACAGGGTTTTTCTGAGTAGCTTTGGAGCCTATCCTGGCACTCACTCTGTAGACCAGACTGGCCTCGAACTCACAGAGATCCGCCTGCCTCTGCCTTCCAAGTGCTGGGATTAAAGGCGTGCACCACCAACACCCAGCGAAAAATACAAGTTTTATAGCTTTCGTGCACCACTAACACCCAGCGAAAAATACAAGTTTTATAGCTTTCATTTAAAAAACTATTTTTGTGACACTCTTTTATCAAGACCAAATGGATCTGTTTCAGATTGACTTGATCACTGTTGCAAGATGGTAAACACTACAGGAATGTAGGACTATGACCCTGTTCAATTGGAGCACAATGAGATCATCTGGAAATCATCAGCAAACAATGACCCAGCATGTGGGAAGCACTGGAATAATTTGAGTTCAAGGACTGCAGGAGAATCCAGGTGGACCTGAGACTTTAATGAGCCATGAGTGTTCCAGCATCTTCTCCTGCTCTCAGGTGGGTTTCTCTTTCCCTCTCTATTTCCTCCTTCATTTGGCCAATACTCACCTTGAAGCTTCCCCCCTTTAGTGCCCACAGCTTACTGCTGCTTCTTGTTCTTTAAACTTTCTTTCAGTGTCTCCTTAATGTTCACTTGGTGCTAAGCAGGGGCAGTGGAGACAGAGACAACCGACTGCCTGAGCTATTTTCTCCGGAACCATCAAGAGCTGATTCTGCATTGTGGTGGGAAAGACCCTGCTCAGCTGACGTTCAACCACAGCTTCGCTTGTTTTCAGATTCAGCAAAGAGTGCATTGCTTAGAAAGAGAGAAATGCCTTCAGCTATAGGAAATTCTTCCTATCCAGCCTTCTAAGAAGTGAGCTCTGCCCAATACCTTGTGTAGATTCATCAGTGAAAGTGCTAACTAAAGGATGGATTTCCACACCTCTGCCTTACTGTCCAGGAATTTCCAGAGCAACACTATTGCCCAAGGAAGCACAAGAAACAGCAGGCACGGTTTCAGCCTCTTTCGGAATGCATCATTGTTCTGCACAATCATATACTGGAACCAGTAAAGTTCGCACCCTTTCTTGAGACACCTTGTGTTTTCTTTCTGGCCATGAAGGAACTAAAGTCCAACTAATTGTGAGATGTGAGTCCTCCCCACAGTAGCTTTCCTCTCAGCCCATTAGAACCCTACTACCCCAATGACATAGTCACAGCTTACACCAGGTTCCAGACAGCCAGATTGCTGCACAGCTCCCTAAGCACCTAACTGATCATTTTTTACATATCTGTACATTAACTTTCCTCTGTCTGGCTGCTTGTCTGTCCTTTAACCCTTAGCACATGTGTTGTCCCTTCATCTCAATGCTCTGTCTCCCTTCCTAGAAAGCTCTCCTGACCTTTCCCTGTTGTCAGGGCCGATAAAATTGGCTCTGCTTCATCTTGACTTGAGGTCAGAGAGTTCAAGCCCACTATTGCTCTTTCAAGGTGAAACAACAGAAGGTTTGGCCTAAGGTGTGGCTTGTGTGGCTTGCCTTGACAACGGGGTATTTGTTTTAGGATGCACTTAGTTGATATTTTGGGCTTTAAGAAGGTAATTATGCTTGCTTGTTCTTTGTATCTTGGTAAGGAAGTCTTTTGCCTTCCCCTACTTTTGGTTGGGATATATAAGAACTTTGAATAATAAACTTGGGGCTCATCCTGATATTCCCCAGGTGCTCTACCAATTCTATGTCTTGTCCCTTGTATATTTCCTTCCCAAATACACAGGTACCCCTCTCAGGATGGCTGGACCTGTCAGATGCCCCAGCAATGTGGATTACTATACCCTGTGGTTTGAATTGCTAGGATACACATTGAATTGCATTATTAATTCTGCCAGTTGTTTACTTTCTACTTTACTCAGCCATTGTGTTGTGTCTGCCCCTGAGTTCTTGTTAAATATTTGTTGAATAGTTGATGAATATTTTAAAATCTCAGAAGTATATCTAATTATTATTGTCATGTCAGGAATGAAAAGGAGACTTTAAAATAAAATAATATGAGAAGTAAGGACAGTATTTTAAAAGCAAAAAAATGTCAGGATAAAAATAAAAGTTGTTGAGATCAACACAGAGGTAGATTCTAAATATAAGCAAAAACTACCATAAACATCTCCACCCACTTCCTTTAAATTAACCTAGAAACTTGAGTATTTTTTTCACATCTCCATGGCACATTTATCAGACATGTCCAAACCCTATTATATGTCTCTGAGATATATATGTTATGTTCAAATACACACAAATTCACATAATGTGTAAGGAAATGAACAAATGAAGTAGATATCCTCTCTAGATGCCATCAGTAATCTACACTAGTAAATAATACATGTTAGTCTTACAATATTAAAATAACTCTTTATATGAGGCTAGAGAATGAAGATGACCATATGAAGAAATAAAAAGAGGGATTTAAAGATTTTATTAAAAAGCTATACTTACGATTTTTCTCAACCAGTTGCTGCCTAAATTTCATTTGTTTGAAGTATGAGACAGTTCATCAGTAGTAAAATATAATGAATAAAATAATTTAAGTATCATTAGATTTCATTGTGATTTTGTATTTATAGCACCTTCAAGTCTGATGAGCTATGTTTACTAGTGAAGACAGGGCAAAACCACAACAAAGAGCATGATTTTATAAGCCTTGGGCAATTATGAAATTGAAAGCACTCTACACATGTTCGTTTCAGTACTAATTATATTAACAGACTTAGTCCAATGTTGAGTCATAAATTTCCTAGATGATTTGAAACCACAACAACTAGAATTTTTCAAGTAATAACAGTCCACAGGAACCAACCACCAGTTACCAGTATCATGGACCTCAATCACTCTCAAAACTTGATGTCAATGAAAAACAATGCATCTTAGACGATCCTGCCTTCTTCTAAATCTTTCCCTTCCCAGGCCTTGCTCCGATACCTGGAATCAGTTCAAGATCTTCTCTAGGTTGTCTTTTTTACACATGGACCATTTCTCTGTTTCCACATACAGAATGGAACCCTAATCAGAACAAACAAGATCTGGAAAGAAGCATGCAAACATGTCTGCCCCGCTCCCCCACCACTTCTCTCTCTCTCTCTCTCTCTCTCTCTCTCTCTCTCTCTCTCTCTCTCTCTCTCTCTCTCTGCAGATCAAAGAGGCTTTGACCTGTATTAGCTCTGGTTCAAAATGCCTATATTATATATTTACAAACAAAACTTTAAACTACATTTGTCTACTGTCTCCTTTACCTGAACAATTAAGTAACAACAAAGCAGAAAGTTGCAGCTGTCATTACTCGAAGTTCAATGAAACATGGCAGTTTGGTACCTGAAAGGACACTGCAGTTGCTACAGGGCCTGGAGGCATATGGTGCTCATGCTGTTGTAGACAACTATTTCCCAGAAGCACAGAAAGGGTAAAGATCCACAAGTCATCCTTAGGGTTACTCTAAGGCACATAAGGGCAAGGGACTAAGGAGTACATTCTTCATTTCTTATACATTTATTAACTATTTGAGCTGGGCTTTATGTCTTTCAATAGTAAACAAATCACAAAAGTTTGAAGACAAACAAAAATTTCAAATCTAAATGTGTATATTAGCAACAATTCTTTTCAAACCTCAGTTATACTATTATGTATATAGGGGATGAAAATTTCATTTTTCAGTGTGAGTCAAATGTCTAGTACTATCCATTAGAATATAATAGGTACAGCATTAAAAATATTTCTATACAAAACTATGTTAACTGTGGTTATATTGGGGCATGCATGTTACTCAACTAAATTCAGCAAACTGTCAGTAACCATTTATGAAAAGCTAGACACTGTATTCAATATACAGATAAATATTTTCATAGGTCAAGAGTATGACTTTTTCAGAGACAAACATGCAAACGTAAATGTAACTAATACAACCATCTCTGGCAGAATTAGAAGAATATAGGATTACATAAAATAAAAAGTAATTTAGATAAGGGAAACAGTGCTATGAAACTTGAGAGCCAAAATGACTGTTGACAGATAGGAGTGAAACTGTAAATTTGATGATAAGATCCAATACCATCTTAGTTGGGGAGGAACAAATCTTGGTTCTCTGTGCTTGGAATCCAGTAGTAAACAAAATGTACATTGATTGATATATTAATTAATATAGCATACAATATATAGGAGATGTATATGTATATATATGTATATACATATATATATATATATACACATTCTGCTGAGTCCATTTAGCATTGCTCATATATACATGTGCCCAAGATTATTGACCACTTGGGATTTGACAATTTATGTGGAAGTTCTTCCTGGTGAGAAACCTATTCTCCCTAAAAGCAGTCATTGACTTCCTGTAGCTCTTCATGTAGGAGTAAAATCAGGTAGAATTTTGCCTGTCCATGTTAGCATCAAATCTGGTGTTGCCATCATACTGATCTTTTTCAAGCAACAATATTGTTATGGTTTCTTGGGCACGTTTTCCCTGTTCTATCTAGAGGACACTATCTAGCAGCAGGGGTCCTGGTCCTCTGCATCTTACAAGCTTTCTGTCTTCTTCCACAATTTTTTCTGAGTCCTAGGTGTAGGTGCTGCATTACAGATGTATATTCCTAAGTTCTAAAGGAAGGAATAAAAGAAATATATCCAAAGTTATACAGTGTGAGTAGTTATTTATTTATTTTTCACTTTTGTTCTTACTGAAAAGGAGACTGAGATAAGGAAACCTAAGAGTTTTTAACTATAAATTAGCTAAAGTAAGATTAATTCTAGTATATTATATTGATGTATGCATGAATCATACACTTTTTTAAAAGTACAAGATAAAGAAATAGGAGCAAACCTGATAGATAATTTTTACAGATATTTAATCCACAGTGATTGGAATATTCCATATCGTTGTGGATCTATGGAACATTAAGTATGGCTATATTTAAAAAACATAAAAATGCTTCATTTCCACCAATGGAACCTGGGAAACCAGGCCCTGTATCCAGGCCTGCCTTCCAGTGCCTGGGGACTGCCACAGCAGGAGCCTATGCACCCCAGATTCCTGGTCGTCTTCTCCACCCATGGGACCAGGACTAAGAACAGGAAGAAGAGAACTACCAGAGTATTGGACTTGCTGGCACCCACCAAAAGGGAACTCTGATCCCCTAACCACCAGGCCAGTAAGAGGCTATTTCTGCATCCACTAGAAGAAGAGATGGGAAGGAGACAATACAAAAATATTCTCAGCAACAGAAAAAAGATATGACACTGCCAGAGTCTAGAGACTCCATACCAGCAAGACTCCAACATTCCAACACAAATGAAGCAGAAGAGAATGACCTTAAAAAGAACTTCATGAAAATTATAGAGGCCTTCAAAGAGGATATGGGAAAATCCCTCAAAGAAATGGAAGAAAAAAAACAAAAATGCAAAAAATGGAAGGAAAAGCAAACCAAAAAATGCAAGAAATGGAAGAAAGAACAAACCAAAAAATGCAACAAATGGACAAAAAGACAAAGCAAAAATTACAAGAAATATTTCAAAGAGTGCAAGGGTTGAAAACTGAAATAGAGACAATAAAAAAACACAATCTGAAGGAAGGCTGGAAATAGAAAAGCTGGGCAAATGGTCAGGTAGTACAGATACAAACATAACCAAAAGAACACAAGAGATGGAAGAAAGAATCTCAGGTGTTGAAGACACACTAGGAGAAATTGATTCATCGACCAAAGAAAATCTTAACTTCAACAAATCCCTAATGTAAAATATCCAGGAAATATGGGACCCCATGAAAAGACCAAACCTGAGAATAATAGGTATAGAAGAAGGTGAAGAAATCCACCTCAAAGGGGCAGAAAATATATTCAACAAAATCGAAGAAGAAAACTTTACCAACCTAATGAAAGACGTGCTAATGAAGGTACAAGAAGCTTACAAAACACCAAATAGAGTGGACCACAAAAAAAGTTCCCTCACCACATAATAATCAAAACCCCAAATATACAGAATAAAGAAAGAATATTAAGAGCAGCTAAGGAAAAAGGTCAAGTAACATATAAAGACAAACCTATCAGAATTACACCTGACTTCTCCATGGAAACTCTGAAAGCCAGAAGGTCCTGGATAGATATTCTACCAACTCTAAGAGACCATAGATCCCAGCCCAGACTACTATACCCAGCAAAGCTTTCAATCACTATAGATGGAGAAAACAAGATATTCCATGACAAAACTAGATTCAAACAATACATATCCCCTAACCCAGCCCTACAGAAAGTCCTGGAAGGAAAACTCCAACCCAAGGAAGTTAACTACAACCAGAAAAACATAGGCATTAGATAATCCCACCTCACCAACAGCCAAAACAAAAAAGGGGTGGAATTCCTCACACAATTCCAACAACAACAACCATCCCAAATCAAAGAATAATGAGCATTCAATGGTTATTAATATTCCTCAATATTAATGGTCTTAACTTGACCATAAAAAGACACAACTAACAGAATGCATTTGACGACAGAACCCATCCTTCTGCTGCATACAAGAAACACACCTCAGCCTCAAAGACAGACATTACCTCAGAGTTAAAGGTTGGATGTAGCTGTAACAATAAACGGCATACTTGTTGAGGGTATAGGTAACTGTTTATTATAGAAAGTACTTACAAGATAATACGGGCAACACAGGTGTGTCAAGTAGCTTTCACCACAGACCCGGAAGCCGAAAAGAGAGAGTGCTGATCTGCTGCACGGTCTTTTATTCCCACCTCCTTACACGCCTCTAGCCATGCCTCAAAGTGGGCCTGGCATTTGGCGTAGTTTACTGCCCTTTCATTACCACATCTGTATGCATCTCTGGTCATGCTCAAAGTGGGTGTAGTTAGTGGCGCAGTTCACTGCCATTTCATTACTACATCTATATGCATCTCTGGCGTGCCACATGGCTAGGGCACAGTCCTAAAGTCTCCTCCTGCAGATGGGATAGGATTTTCTAGTCAAATGGATCTAAGAAAGAAGCGGGAATAGCAATCCTAATATCTAACAAATTAGACTTTAAAATAAAATCCATCAAAACAGATGAAGGAGGTCATTACATACTTATCACAGGAGAAATCCACCAAGATGAAGTTTCAATTCTGAACATCGATGCCTCAAATACAAAGGCATCCACATTTGTAAAAGAAGCATTACTAAAACTTAAATCACATATAAAGCCCCACACACTTATAGTGGGAGATTTCAACACATCACTCTCACCACTAGACAGAAACACCAGACAGAAACTCAACAAAGAAGCAAAGGGTCTAAAAGAAGTAATGACCAAACTGGGATTAACAGACATCTATAGAATATTTCCTCCACATAAAAAAGAATATACCTTCTTTTCAGCACCACATGGAACCTTCTCAAAAATTCACCACATACTTGGCAAACTATCAAACCTCAACAGGTACAAAAAAATTAGAGTAACTACGTGCATCTTATCAGACCACTGTGTGTTAAAATTAGAATTCAACAACACAAATTGCAGGAAACCTACAAACTCATGGAAATTGAATAATGCACAATTGTACCATTCCTGGGACAAAGAGGAAATAAAAAAAGAAATTAAAGACTTGCTAGAATTCAATGAGAATGAAGACACAACATACCCAAATCTATGGGACACTTTGAAAGCAGTGCTACGGGGGAAGTTCATAGCACTAAGTGCCCACATGAAGAAACTGGAGAATAGTTACACTAGAGAATTAACAACACAGCTGAAAGCTCTAGAGCACAAAGAGGCAAACTCCCCCAGGAGGAGTAGACACCAGGAAATAATCAAACTGAGGGCTGAAATCAATAAAGTAGAAACTAGGAAAACAATACAAAGAATCAATGCAACGAAGAGTTGGTTCTTTGAGAAAATCAACAACATAGACAAACCTTTGTCCAAACTTACCAAACAGCAGAGGGTGAACATGCAAATTAACAAAATCAGAAATGAAAAGGGGGAAATAACAACGGACACAGAGGAAATCCAGAGAATCATCAGGTCATACTTTGAAAACCTGTACTCCACAAAATTCGAAAATTTAAAGGAAATGGATGATTTTCTGGATAGATATCACTTGCCAAAATTAAATTGAGAACAGATAAGCAATTTAAATAGCCCCTAAGGAAATAGAAGCAGTCATCAAAAGTCTCTGAACAAAAAAAAAAAGCCCAGGTTCAGATGGCCTCAGTGCAGAATTGTACCAGAAATTCAAAGAACAGCCTATATCAATTCTTCTCAAAGTATTCCATGCAATAGAAGCAGAAGGGTCTTTGCCAAACTCTTTCCAAGAGGCTTCAATAACCTTGATACCCAAGCCACACAAAGACACAACTAAGAAAGAGAACTTCAGACCAATATCCCTCATGAACATTGATGTAAAAATACTCAATAAAATACTGGCAAATCGATCCAATAACACATCAAAACAATTATTCAACATGATCAAGTAGGTTTCATCCCAGGGATGCAGGGGTGGTTCAACATACGAAAATCCATCAATGTAGTCCACCATGTAAACAAGCTGAGAAACAAAAATTACCTGATCATTTCACTAGATGCAGAAGAATTCTCACAAAATCCAACACCCCTTCATGATAAAGGTCTTGGAAAGATCCAGGATAACAGGAGCATACCTAAACATAATAAAACCTATATACAGCAAACTAACAGCCAATAACAAACTAAATGGAGAGAAACTCAACATGATCCCGCTGCAATCAGGAACAAGACAAGGCTGTCCTTGCCTTTTTAATATTGTACTTGAAGTTCTAGCTAGAGCAATATGACAACAAAAGGAGATCAAGGGGATACAAATTGGAAAGGGAGAGGGCAAACTTTCACTATTTGCAGATTATATGATAGTTTACATAAGTGATCAAAAAAACTCTACCAGGGAACTCGTAGAGCTGATAAACACTTTCAGCAAACTGGCGGTATACAAGATTAACTCAGGAAAATCAGTAAAAGGGCTGAGAAAGAAATCAGAAAAAAAAATCACCCTTTACAATTGCCACAAACAACATAAAATGTCTTGGAGTAATGCTAATCAAACAAATGAAAGACCTGTATAGCAAGAACTTTGAGTCTTTAAAGAAAGAAATTAAAGAAGACATCAGAAAATGGAAAGATCTCCCATGTACTTGGATAGGGAGGATCAACCTAGTGAAAATGGCAATTCTGCCAAAAGCAATCTACAGATTCAATGCAATCCCTATTAAAATACCAGCACAATTCTTCCCAGACCTTGAAAGAACAATAATCAACTTTATATGGAAAAACAAAAGATCCAGGATAGCCAAAAAAAACCTTATTCAACAAAACAACATCTGGAGTATCACCATCCCTGACTTGAAGCTCTGTTATAGAGCTGTAGTCCTGAAAACAGCTTGGTTTTGGCACAAAAATAGACAGGTAGACCAATGGAATCGAATAGAAAACCCTGATATTAAACCCTGATATCTGGGGAGTGCCAGCCTACAATCCCACAGCCAGAGAGTCTAGGAAACAGAACCTTCATCCAATGACTGATGGAAGCAGAGGCAGATTCTCACAGCTAAACACTGAGCTGAACTCAAGGAACCCAGTGGCAGAGAGGGAGGACTAATGAGCAAAGGGGTTAAGACCTGGCTGGTTTAACCCCCAGAAACAGCTGACCTGAACAAGGGGTAGCTTTTGAATCCCAGACTGATGGCTGGGAATCCAACAGGGGACTGATCAAGACCCCCTAATGTGGGTGTCAGTGAGCAGGCCTAGGCAATCTATGGGGCCTTTGGTAGTTGACCAGTATTTATTCCTGGCATACAAATGGACATTGGGTGCCCATCCCACTATGAGAGATGCACTTTCACCCTGGACTCTTGGGGAGGGTCTAGGCCCTGCCCTGGATGAAATGACTGACTATGGACACCCCCATGGAGGAACTCACCCTCCCTGGAGAAAGGAGGGGTTATTGGGTGGGTGGTGGAAGGGCGTGGGAGGAGGGGAGGGAAAGGGAGAGGGACCTGGCATTGACATGTGAAGAAGCCTTGTTTCTAATTTAAATTTAAAAATAAAAATTTTTTAAAAACATAAAAAGTACGAATTCTGGCAGCTAAACCATCTATAACATGAGCATATTGTTTATTTTTGCAATGCCCAAAAGAAATGTCCAGAAGCATCTGAGATTGAATGTAGCAGCCAGGAGGAAACCACTGCACATATACCAGCAGAGGATCTAGGGCTTGATCTCTCATTCTGTAAGTCCACCATAGGTAGACAAATAATAGGCTGTACGCTTCTGCTCTTTGCTACAGCCCCTGGTGAATGCCCAAAAGGAGCTGTGTGTCCTGAGATTTGGAGTGTTCAGGGACCAAACGGAGAGGCTGAATCACTGGCATGGCATGCAACATCCGACCACATGCTATTATTTGGTCACCTAAGCAGGTTTCTCATGTTTTTACCCAACAGCCAGTGTGGAATTCATATTTTATGTTCATTTCTTCTCTTTCATTTATACCCTCACCATTACTTAAAAAGTGCTGGTGTTATTAATAGAATTTATTCTTTTCATCAAAATAGCATAGATGACAGATAATAGATGCAGGATAGAAAGATAGATAGATAGATAGATAGATAGATAGATAGATAGATAGATAGATAGACAGTTAGATGTGGTTTGTATATAAAAATCCCAAGTGGTATCATGCAGAAGTAAAAACACTTATTTTGTTGAATGTTCTTGCAGATTGCTTCCTCTGCTTATTCTGAGCTGTCTATCTGGACTGCAATGTCATGGAGCTAGCTTAACTTGAGTTCCTACTCTAAAGGAAGTAGTACCTATTTAAGCTCAAAGGTAAACATTTATTTAAAACAAGAACAAATCCTAATCAATCATATTTGTAAATGCTGAAAATGCTACATTTTTATCTCAGTTTCATTTCTTGTTTCTGCTAGGATGCTTCTGTCCTATTACATGTGAATTTCAGTGTGAGCAAGAATTTTTAGTATATACAGTTGAGGCCTACAGGAGAATCAATTTAGGGCATTTTACATTTACATTCCATTTTATTGAGCAACAGAATGAGACTTACGCAAATAATTCTCTCTCTCTGTCTCTCTGTTGTCCTCTTGGTGGATACAGGCAAGAGTTATTCTACTAGAACAAACTAAGGCTATTTCCATCTGAGCAACTACATTTGAGCCAATACTTGCCAGAAACATTTTGATATAAAAGGGGTATGCATATTCCAAGCATAAATCTATGTCTTAATTATGTAACCAACAATGCACAGCACTCAATTAAAAGAATTTTGAGACACACAGAAAAACCAAGTACAGTTATTTATTTTAAAGAGGTAAAGTAAATAGACCCATGAATAGAGATAAAATTAGAATATCAGATATTGGCTGGGCAGTGGTGGCGCACACCTTTAACCCCAGCACTTGGGAGGCAGAGGCAGGCAGATCTCTGTGAGTTCAAGGCCGGGCTAGACCGACAGCCTCCAAAACAATACAGAGAAACCCTGTCTCGTAAAACCAAAAAAAAAAATCATTTAAAATGTTTGAATCTTAAATCACTAAAATGATTAAATATAAGTATGACTACTGTTTAAGAATCTGGTAGAAAGTGAGCAATAAACATGGGCAGGTATAGACTTTAAGGAAGAAAAATGAAAATAGAGCCAGTTAGCAATTCTGTGTATCAAAAACACTGTATTGGTGAAGAAGAATTTCTGTAATGATCATATCAAAAGATAGAATGTGAACGTGAAGCTGGCAGAGAAGACAATCAATAGAAACAAATCTACCTCTAAGTGAGTGACGTGATAGCTGGGCATGTGACAAGACTGACTATAATGTGATTGCGCTCCCATAGAAGAAACACAGAGGAAAGAGAACGTGCAAATGGCCAGCTAACATTACTGAAGAGCCACACTGCCCGCAGACTAAGGGCCTCCATCCAGTTGAGAAATGTACACTGTTTCTGATTTTTCATTGGTACTTTCTTTCTGTGTCTACCAGCAGGAGAGATACACATGTGAGTCCAAGATGTTGATCAAATTAACATCCCCTAGGTAGTGTAAAATACCTTGAGACAAATACAGCAGTCAGACAGGGGGCATTGGAGTTTTATAACCAGTGGTTGTCTCAAGTCTTTTAGTCACTTGCTCCTTTGTGTCTTCAATGAGGGGCAGTTAGAATGGGAAACCCTGGCTTTTGGTGCTTTAGAGTAAGATGCAATCATTGCCTGACGAGTGATGATGGTTCATTGCCCTTGCAGCCTCAAGCTGTTGATTGAGTTCTCTGAGTTTAGCTTCTTGTTCTGCTCTGATCCTCGCAGCCTCTTGCTGAGAAGAAATAAGGAGAAATATGATAAAGCTTAGCAAAAATAAAAATACCAGACTCTTTCCTCACTCCTAAGCCATTGGATTTGTCCATCCTTATTGCTCTATGGTAGCAACAGACAATCCCTGAACAACTTCATTCATATGTGTGCAGCCCACTTCTATCCATTTTCACACTTGGCCTCTCATTCCAGACACAGCCCGTTTCAATCTCTGAAATGGTGGTGTCTTCAGGATTCCAGCCCAATGTACCCTTCTTTCTTAGACCAAAAAAAATTGCCTTGGCAATCTCAATCACATGTGCAATCTCATTCACACTTGGTATATTGTCAAACATTTTTCTACAAGAAGAGGCTATACTCAGAGTGACACGACGCTGCCCAGAGGGTCAAATGCAGCCATCTGAGTCCTAGCTAAAGAGTAGGGTCCAGGTTGCCACACTTACATTGACAGGAGTGATTGTCCTCTCTGCCTTTCAGGAAAGCACTGGTATATCAGAAATATGTTTGAGTAGCTTCTGATAAAGCTACTACTTGTAGATATACTGGTCAGTCATCAGGGTGGGTAAGGACAGTTTGTTTATGAGTGGGGGATAGGAATGTCACACCATCTCTGCAGACACAGCAATGCTTGAGATTCTATTTGCAAGCCTGTGTGCTGCCAGTATTTGGGTTATTTTTATGGAAATTCACCTAATTCACCTGGAAACTGGGAGCAACTGCTTCATGGCAGAACTATTTAGATCAGAGAATGCATACAAAGGGGTTTGTATGTGTTAAATAATGACTACTGTTTCTTGAGTGCTGATAAAACTAAAGTATAACTTCAAGTTAAGAATAACTGAATGAGAAATGATCAAGGCAAGACAGGAATTTTAAAAAAGCCATGATCAAGATGCATGATTGTCCAGAGCAAGTGACAAACAGAAGAGGTTGTTAATCAAGAAATGCTTTCGATTTTATTTAATAAGTGATTATGTATACTCTGTGCCAAACATTGTTCTAAACATAAACATTAAAGCATTTCTTGTAACCTGGTAATGTATGTGTTGTTCCTGCCCCTACGCCACACTAAAGTATACAGATGCGAGACAACATGTATAGACACACATTTGGTAAAAGGCAGTGCTTGTGGCTGACATCCAGCAGTCTGGCTTCAGGGTCTCTGCCCTGAGCTACCCCTTGAGACTGTCTTTCCCCATGGGCCATCATACTGTCACCTTAACAGACCGGAGACTGAGTAGCTGAGTAACATCAAGAGGAAACAATTCACAAGTACCTGAATCCTCTCTTTCCTGATCCTCTCTTGCTGTGCCTGGAAGTTTGCTTTGTTGATCTCTATTTGCCTCAGTTCCTCTTGATACTGTCTCTGCTGCTCAGCTCTCCTCTGCTCTTCCTGGATTCGAATCGCCCGCAACCTCTGTGCTTCAGCCCTTGCAGCTGCTGCCCTGGCTTGTTCCGCTGAGGAGAAAGGAAAGTCACAAGTCTCTAGGATGAGTACAGTGGGCCTCTCCTTGCACAGGAAGGCCGTGTTAATTAACTTCTTGTACAGGGTACGTTGCCTCCATTTCCTTCTCACCTTTTCTCTCATTCTCCTTGGCTGTGAGAGCCTGGTCTGTTTGTAGAATTGTATTGCTCAGTTGTTCTTTGGCCTTCAAATATTCCTGCAGCACTTCCTCAGCCTGGGAACCCCAAAACACGCTGTTACAACTAGGAAATGCTAATTTGCAACCTGGAAAATGTCTTTATTTCTTCTCCAACTACCTTTCCCTCCTAGGGGATGCTCAGCCTGTACATGATGGGTCTGTCCATCAATCTTCACCCATGGGAATGATGCTGGCATGGCCAATCAGAGCACCCAGGGATGCTACACCTAACAATCTTATTTACATGTGGATAAACACCGAAAATTGGGTGTTTTAAAAACTAATATGGGTGCTGGAATAGATATGCTTGCCCTCTTCTGAGATATAAGTCTCTAAGGACAAGCTAAACTAGAGCCATATCAGAGGCTTTTGGGTGTGTGTGTGTGTGTGTGTGTGTGTGTGTGTGTGTGTGTGTGTGTGTATTGCATATGGAGTGGGGGTGCCAGGCTACTTAAAAATAAAGCCAACACTCAGGGAAATGAAGGAGGGTTTGTTTGGAAAGAAATAAAAAGAAAGAAAATGGATGACATCATTTGAACTCTGGCATGTCTCTATACTTGAAATAAAAACCTTTTAAGCCTGTCAATTATTAGCTTTCCCTAAATTGGCTTCACTTATTGAGATTCTATCTTGTGTAACCTAATCAGCCCCTTTGATGTTCATAAATGCTGATGGCTACAACCAAAGTCTAGTGATTACAGTGATGCGTTGCTTTCATCTGCAGCTGTGGCTGAAGTAGAAGTTATCTGCTATAACATCTGTACCAAGTGCAGTTCACTCAACAGAAGAGTAAATCACGGACAGAGATATAAAGCACATCGCTGCTCCTGTACCAGGAACGAAGGTACCTGTGTTCCCTTCCTTGGCTGCTGACGGTACTGTGCCTTCAGCTGTTCCATCTTCTGAAGGAAGAGACGGTGGCCTCCTGGTGTAGCATAGATCCCCTGTGCCACTTGTTGTTCCAGGGGCTTAAAAATATTCTGAAGTAGGGTTGAGCAGTGGTTTGCAGAGGCTTCCACATTCTTCTTACAAATCTCATCCTGCTTTGCACTTAGTAGGGTCTTTAAAGGGGAAAAAACATGGAGATATTAAGTACACTTCCATGTTTCTGGACATTGTTTTTCAAAAGAAATATACATTTTATTTTCTTTGAAACTTAAAGAAATATATGTAAAATTATATCCTTATCAAAGCTGTAAAAGTTGCAAAGATAAAACTATATGAAAAGTTATGTTTACTTGGCAGTTAGAAATGTCTTCCTTTTTAACAGCAGATTTATTACCTTGTTTATTAAGGAACAGTGAGAAAGAACTTCTGTGAGTAGAATACCCTCTCTTATTTGTTTTGTTTTGTTTTGTTTTGTTCTGAGACAGGGTTACTATGGGTAGCCCTGACTATCCAGGAACTAGCTCTATAAACCAGACTGACCTTGAACTCACAGAAATATGCCTGCATCTGCCTCCTGAGTGCTTGGATTAAAGGCATGTGCCACCACTGCCCAGCATGTTTGCATTTTTAATCTACTCATCTTATCTTGATATTTTCCTGCATTTGTGCATTTATGATGTTTACTCATGTTTACCCCCACTATTTAATCTCCTCTTTTCACCTCCATCTACTAAAACCCTTCTTATTCCCAAGAAGTCACTCTCGTGTGTGTGTGTGTGTGTGTGTGTGTGTGTGTGTGTTTGTGTGTGTGTGTGTATCCCACTGAATTTAATTGAGGTTACTTGAAACTCTTCTCAAGATGCTATTTCCACCCTAGATGTGATTTTATCATTTTAGATCTCTCACTTGCACCATAATTTTAAACACAACCAACTGTCTAACATTTTTTCAGAGTTTTTCTAGATCTAGGTGTGTGAAATTGAATCACTAGCTGCACTATCTGCCTATTCTATTAATCCTACTTTCATCATATCTTATTAGATGAAAAGGCAGTTCTATATACTTGCTCAATAAAAAATAAATACATTGTTAATGATGATTTTGTGTGTGGTACAATAAATTCAAGTTTTTTTCATGACTATAACATGGTACATGTGAGGCGTGTGTGTGTGTGTGTGTGTGTGCGTGTGCGTGTGTGTGTGTGTGTGTGTGTGTGTGTGTGTGTGTGTGTGTGTGTGTAAATAAATGTCAAGATCCTTGAAGCCAGATTCCTTTCAGGCTTTCCTGTTTTTCAAATTAACTCATATTACTGCCACATAAATGACTGTCATCACTTTCCAAAGTAGTGGGAACTGATTTTTTTAATTGATCCTATTTTACCAATTGTAAAAGTATTCTTGCCTTTTGTTGAACCTGATGTCTACAAACAAATACAGAAAATAATGACCTTCAATTCCTTCTGGAAACATTGGTCCTCATCCTTGAAAGAATCCTTCCTGAAGATTTCCAAGGCTTCATTCTCACAGGTCCGGTGTAGGTCCAGCAGCTCCTCGAGGGTCTCTGTGGGCAACTGCACCCTCTGGCTCATCTGCTGATCATAGTGAGTGACAGCCCTTTGCACTGCTGCCGAGTTCTCTCTCCGGACCAAGGTTACCACTGTGTTCTCCATGCAAGGCAGAGCCCCACTATTGATAGCATCGATGTAGGTCATCACCAGGCTCTCTAGACCTTCACAGAAGGAGAAATGTTTGTCTAATTTTAAAAAAGGAGTCTAAGATGTATATGGAATCATTCTGACAATGTTAACTATGTATTGCCTGTATTTTTCAGCATTCTTCATAGTATTCAAGAGGCCCAGAAAAATTATTTTGAAGAACTATGAGATGAAAAAGACAAGTGGTTCTTTGAGGAAAAACATCAAAATAGCAACAAAAAAGCTAATCAAGTTAGCTTTTTGAAAGAAGAAAGTTAGGATGAAAGAAGAAAATAGAGGAATTCTCAAGATATATGTGATGACCTGCATTTTATCCTTCTCCTTGGAGAAATAAGATGATCATTAAAAATTATGGGTGTTCATCTGATTAAAATATTTTAGACTTTTGTTTCTTTAAGCTTCCAATACTTTTTACTTCTCTGTTTTCTATCTCATTCAAATATTTTCCCGTTTTGATTTATTTCATCATGGTTAAAGTGGTATGAGTTACTTTCCTCTGTAAATAGGATCCAACAATCTAGACCTTATTCTTCATCAAAACTCCTTTGTCTTCTTTGCCAGCTTCTACATGTAAGCAATACAAATTCCTTTCATAATATTTGCAAATTCTAAAACATGCAGTTAAGATAAACTTCATTAAAGAGCTGGAATAGACATCTTTCAGAATCATAAACAATAATGGATTCTATTCAACATCTGTAGAATTTTTCAACAGAAAAATTATGTTTCTACAGGAAACTTGTATGCATTTATTTTATCTTGTGCATATCAAATACTGTGTCACATAATAAAAATCTAATTAATATATTATGGATATATTGTCAACCCACATGAATTCATATGTTTTAAGAGGAAATGGGTAAGACTTCTCTAACATGACATCTTCATCCTTAGGATTTTTTTTATGTGACTTGGAGGGTTTATGGAAAAACAACACTAGAGGTGTGCCTGGTATCTGCTGTAACATTGTCAGCATGTCACATTGGATTTCCATCCTGGCAATGACTGACCCCTTTATCAATTAATCAACAAAGAAATTCTACGTGTCCTTGATTCTTTATGATGAGTTAGAATAAAATCCTTTTGAAAAGTACTCACGAGGTCCATTGACCTGGATGCCTCCTGGGAGAGTCTTGGTCTTGGAATGGGTGAAGATGTGAGAACAGAATTCTGACAGCTCCTGCACAAATTCAGGGCTCAGCTCATCACTGTTGAGCGTTTGAAGCTGGGAAAGCTTATTTCTGTCAGCAGGGGAGTCAAAAACAAAGCATTTCTTCACTGGGAAGAACTTCTGAATACACAGTCGGGGCACGTTGAATATTTGAGTTTTTTCATCACTACCTGGAGAAGGAAATACAGGATTTATCTATACTATAATTCACATCCACTTTAATCTAATTAATTTAAGTAAATGTCCTTAACCCTAGTGTTGCATTAAGCATAAAGATTAAAAACTAACTAGTGGAAGAAAACAAAAAAGAAGAGAAATTGTTTCAATAACTGAAGACAAATGGAATTTAATATTGAATCTATTATTTCATTCTAAATTAAATATTCATTGTTATTTTGTGGAAGTGCTTGCTGGGTAAATACAGAAAAATATATACTTAGATGCCTATAAGAAAATAAGTTCCTGGGTGCTTTTCATTCTTTGCTCTACTACCTTGTCTCAGCTTCAGTGAGTTCTCCAGATATTCATCTGGTGTGATGGCATGCCCGTCTGTTTCCAGACTTAGGAAGAAATCTCTGAGAGTCCACACCAAGTCCGGAAAGAAGCTCATGTCAGCAGGTTCTCTAACTGTATTAAGGTCGGAGGAGTTCCTTGTCTGGAGCAGATCTGTCAGTTCTGTCACGGTGCTGAGACACAATTGAGGAAAACTGGCAGAAGCAAGGCTGTATCTAATGCTTCCCTAAACCTCTTCCTTTCCTGTCTGCACTTAATTAAATTAACACTGTGATGGTGACATGCATGAGGGCTCATTTCCTTGTGCTTCTACTCTGTATCATATTTTAATATGTGTGTTGTAGACCAGCTGTTCCGGTGGGACCAGATACAACAGGCCCTGCATCTGGGACTGTGTTCCAGTGCTGGGGATTGCCTGGGAACTGCACAGAGCTTCCAATCCCGGTGGGAGCCAAGCACCCCAGATTCGAGGTCTTCTCTCCCACCAACCAGACCAGGAAACCAGCAGAACCAGCAAAGAGACCAGGGGACCAGGTGGGAGGCTAAGCACCCCAAATTCCTAGCCTTCTTCTCCACCCAAGGGATCAGAATGAGGACAAGGAATTGAAGAACTACCAGATTATTGGACTTGCTAGCACTCACCAGAAGGGAATTCTGGTCCCCTAACCACCAGACCGGTAAGGGGTTCTTTCTCCACCCACTGGAAGAAGAGATGGGAAAGAGGCAATACAAAAACACACTCAGCAATAAAAAAACAAATATGACACCACCAGATTCTAGAGACTCCACAGCAGCAAGACTCCAACATTCCAATTCAAATGAAGCAGAAGAGAATGACATTAAAACCACCTTCATGAAAATGATAGAGGCCCTAATAGAGGATATAGGAAAATCCCTCAAAGAAATGGATGAAAAAACAAACCAAAAAAATGCAAGACATAGAAGAAAAACAAGCCAAAAAATGCAAGAAGAGGAAGAAAAAACAAACCAAAAAAAGGCAGGAAATGGAAGAAGAAACAAAGCAAAAAATGCAAGAAATGGAAGAAAAAGCAAAGCAAAAAATGCAAGGAATGGAAGAAGAAACTAAGCAAAAAATGCAAGAAATGGAAGGAAAACAAAGCAAAAAATGCAAGAAATGAAAGAAGAAACAATCCAAAAAAGGTAGGAAATGGAAGAAAAAGCAAACAAAAAATACAAGAACTGGAAAAAAAGCAAACCAAAAAATGCAAGAAATGGAAGAAAAAGCAAACCAAAAAAATGCAAGAAATGGAAGAAAGAACAAACCAAAAATTTCATAAAATGCAACAAATGGATGAAAAGATAAACCAAAAATTGCAAGAAATATTTCAAAGAGTGCAAGGGTTGAAAATTGAAATAGAGACCAAAAAAAAAAAAAACCACAATCTGAAGACAGACTGGAAATAAAAAAACTGGGCAAACGGTCAAGTACTACTGATGCAAGCATTACCAACAGAATACAAGAGATGGAAGAGAGAATCTCAGGTGTTGAAGATACACTAGGAGAAATGGATTCATCAACCAAAGAAAATCTTAAGTCCAGCAAATCCTTAACACAAAACATCCAGGAAATATGGGACACCATGAAAAGAAACCTAACAATAATAGGTATAGAAGAAGGAGAAGAAAACCATCTCAAAGGGGCAGAAACCATATTCAACAAAGTCATAGAAGAAAACTTTCCCAACCTTAAGAAAGACATGCCAATGAAGGTACAAGAAGCCTACAGAACACCAAATACAGGAGACCACAAAAAAACAGTCCCCTCATCACATAATAATCAAGACCCCAAATATACAGAATAAAGAAAGAATATTAAAAGCAGCTAAGGAAAAAGGCCAAGTACCATATAAAGGCAAACCTATCAGAATTACACCTGACTTCTCCATGGAAAATCTGAAATCCAGAAGGTCCTGGATAGATATTCTACCAACACTAAGAGACCATGGGTGTCAGCCCAGACTACTATACCCAGCAAAGATCTCAATCACTATAGATGGAGAAAACAAGATATTCCATGACAAAACTAGATTCAAGCAATACGTATCCACTAACCCAGGCCTACAGAAAGTTTTGGAAGGAAAAATTCAACCCAAGGAAGTTAACTACAACCAGAAAAACATAAGCATTAGAGAATCCCTCTCTACCAACAGCCAAAAGAACAAAGGGATGGAATTCCACGCATAATTCCGCCAACAACAACCATTGAAAATCGAAGAAGGATGAGTAATCAATGGTCATTAATATCCCTCAACATTAATGGCCTTAACTCACCCATAAAAAGACACAGGCTAGCAGAATGGATTCGAAGACAGAACACATCCTTCTGCTGCATACAAGAAACACACCTCACCCTCAAAGACAGACATTACCTGAGAGTTAAAGGTTGGGAAAAAATTTTCCAATCAAATGGACCCAAGAAACAAGCAGGGGTAGCAATCCTAATATAAAACAAATTAGACTTTAAAATAAAATCAATCAAAAGACATGAAGGAGGTCATTACATACTCATCACAGGTGAAATCCACCAAGATGAAGTGTCTATCCTGAACATCTATGCCCCAAATACAAAGGCATCCACATTTGTAAAAGAAACATTACTAAAACTTAAATCACATATAAAGCCCCACACACTTATAGTGGGAGATTTCAACACACCACTCTCACCACTAGACAGGAATACCAGACAGAAACTCAACAAAGAAGCAAAGGGGCTAATAGAAGTAATGGCCCAACTGGGATTAACATTCATCTATAGAACATTTCATCCACATAAAAAAGAATATACCTTCTTCTCACCACCACATGGAACCTTCTCAAAAATCGACCACAAACTTGGCAACATATCCAACCCCAGCAGCTTCAAAAAAATTAGAATAACTCCATGCATCGTATCAGACCACCATACATTAAAATTAGAATTCAACAACAACACAAATTGCAGAAAACCTACAAACTCATGGAAACTGAATAATGCTCAACTGCACCATTCCTGGGTCAAAGAAGAAATAAAAAAAAGAAATTAAAGACTTCCTAGAATTCAATGAGAATGAAGACACAATATATCCAAACCTATGGGACACTTTTGAAAGCAGTGCTAGGGGGTAAGTTCATAGCGCTAAGTGCCCACATGAAGAAACTGGAGAATAGTTATACTAGAGAATTAACAGCACAGCTGAAAGCTCTAGAACACAAAGAAGCAAACTCCCCCAGGAGGAGTAGATGCCAGGAAATAATCAAATTGAAGGCTGAAATCAATAAAGTAGAAACTAGGAAAACAATACAAAGAATCAATGCAACGAAGAGTTGGTTCTTTGAGAAAATCAACAACATAGACAAACCTTTGTCCAAACTTACCAAACAGCAGAGAGTGAACACGCAAATTAACAAAATCAGAAATGAAAAGGGGGACATAACAACGGACTCTGAGGAAATTCAGAGAATCCTCAGGTCATACTTTGAAAACCTGTACTCCACAAAATTTGAAAATTTAAAGGAAATGGACAACTTCCTGGATAGCTATCACTTGCCAAAATTAAATTGAGAACAAATAAGCAATTTAAATAGACCTATAGCCCCTTTGGAAACAGAAGCAGTCATCAAAAGTCTCCCAACCAAAAAAAAAAGCCCAGGTCCAGATGGCCTCAGTGCAGATTTCTACCAGAAATTCAAAGAACAGCTTATACCCATTCTTCTCAAAGTATTCCATGCAATAGAAGCAGAAGGGTCTTTGCCAAACTCTTTCCAAGAGGCTTCAATAACCTTGATCCCCAAGCCACACAAAGACACAACTAAGAAAGAGAACTTCAGACCAATATTCCTCATGAACATTGATGCAAAAATACTCAATAAAATACTGGCAAATCGGATCCAGGAACTCATCAAAACAATCATTCACCACGATCAAGTAGCTTTCATCCCAGGGATGCAGGGATGGTTCAACATGCGAAAATCCACCAATGTAATCCACCATATAAACAAGCTGAAAAACAAAAATCACATGATCATCTCACTAGATGCTGAAAAAGCCTTTGACAAAATCCAACACCCCTTCATAATAAAGGTCTTGGAGAGATCTGGGATAACAGGAACATACTTAAACATAATAAAAGCTATATACAGTAAACCAACAGCCAACATCAAACCAAATGGACAGAAACTCAACACAATTCCTCTAAAATCAGGAACAAGACAAGGATGTCTACTCTCTCTATACCTTTTCAACATTGTACTTGAAGTTCTTGCCATTGCCATACGACAAGGAAAAGGGATCAAGGGGATACAAATTGGGAAGGAAGAGGTCAAACTTTCACTGTTTGCAGATGATATGATAGTTTACATAAATGGCTCAAAGAACTCTACCAGGGAACTCTTACAGCTGATTAACACCTTCAGCAAAGTGGCAGGCTACAAGATCAACTCAAGAAAATCAGTAGCCCTACTATATACAGATGATAAAAGGGCTGAGAAAGAAATCAGAGAAACATCAACCTTTACAATTACCACAAACAAAATAAAATACCTTGGGGTAATGTTAACCAAACAAGTGAAAGACCTGTATTGCAAGAACTTTGAATCTTTAAAGAAAGAAATTAAAGAAGCCCTCAAAAAATTGAAAGATCTCCCATGCTCTTGGATAGGTAGGATCAATGTAGTAAAAATGGCAATCCTGCCAAAAGCAATCTACAGATTCAATGCAATCCCCATTCAAATCCCAGCACAATTCTTCACAGACCTTGCAAGAATAATAATCAATTTTGTATGGAAAAACAAAAGACCCAGGATAGCCAAAACAACCCTGTTCAAAAAGGCAACGTACGGAGGCATCGCCATCCCTGACTTCAAGCTCTATTATAGAGCTATAGTCCTGAAAACAGCTTGGTATTGGCACAAAAATAGACAGATAGACCCTGATATTAACCCACACATGTTTGAACATTTGATCTTTGACAAAGAAGCTAACAATATACAATGGAATAAAGAAAGCATCTTCAACAAATAGTGCTGGCATGACTGGAGGCTGGCATGTAGAAGAATGCGGATAGATCCATGTTTATTGCCATGCACAAAACTTGAGTCCAAATGGATCAAAAACGTCAACATAAACCAGCCACACTGAATCTCTTAGAAGAGAAAGTGGGTGGTACCCTTGAACGAATTGATACAGGAGACAGCCTCCTGAACATAACACCAGTAGCACAGACACTGAGATCAACAATTAATAAATGAGACCTCCTGAAACTGAGAAGCTTCTGTAAGGCAAAGGACACAGTCAGCAAGACAAAAAGGCAGCCCACAGAATGGGAAAAAATATTCACTAACCCCACATCTGACAGAGGGTTGATCTCCAAAATTTACAAAGAACTCAAGAAGCAAGTCTCCAAAACACCAAAGGACCCTATTAAAAAGTGGGCTGCAGAACTAAATAGAGAGTTTTCAATAGAGGAGTCTAAAATGGCTGAGAGGCACTTGAGAAAGTGCTCAACATCCTTAGCCATCTGGAAAATGCAAACCAAAACAACTCTGAGATACAATCTCACTCCTGTCAGAATGGCTAAAATCAAAAACACCAATGACAATTTATGCTGGAGAGAATATTGTGAAAGGGGAACACTCCTCCATTGCTGGTGGGAGTGCTAACTTGTTCAGCCACTTTGGAAATCAGTATGGAGATTCCTCAGAAAAATGGGAATAAACCTACCACAAGACCCAGCAACTTCACACTTAGGCATATATCCAAAAGATGCCCATTCATACAACAAGGATGTCTGTTCCACTATGTTCATAGCAGCATTATTTGTAATAGCCAGAACTTGGAAGCAGCCTAGATGCCCCTCAACCGAAGAGTAGATAGAGAAAATGTGGTACATTTACACAATGGAGTACTATTCAGCAGAAAAAAACAATGGAATCCTGAGATGGAATCCTAAGATTTGCAGGCAAATGGATGACATTAGGAGAAACCATCCTGAGTGAGGTAACCCAGTCACAAAAAGAGAATCATGGCATGTACTCTCTCATATATGGATTTTAAACATAGATCTGGGGAGTGCCAGCCTACAATCCCATGGCCAGAGAGTCTGAGAAACAGAACCTTCATTCAGTGGCTGATGGAAGAACAGGCAGTCTCCCAAGGCTAAGCACTGAGCTGAACTCAAGAAAGCCAGTAACAGAGAGGGAGGACTGATGACCAAAGGGATTAAGACTGGGCTGGTTTAACCCCAGGAAACAGCTGACCTGACAAGGGTTAACTCTTGAATCCCAGGCTGATGCCTGGGAATCCAGCATGGGACTGATCAAGACCCCCTGAATGGGCGTGTCAGTGAGGAGGCCTAGGTAATCTATTGGGCCTTGAGCAGTAGATCAGTATCCATCCCGATTATACACACGGACTTTGGACTCCCATCCAACAATGTGAAATGCACTCTCACACTGAACTCTTGGGGGGAGGGTCTAGGCCCTGCCCTGGATGAAATGACAGACTATGGACACCCCCATGAAGGGCCTCACCCTCCATGGGGAAATGAGGGGATATTGGGGGGGTTGGGGGAGGGCACGGGAGGAGGGGGAGGGAAACAGAGAAGGACCTGGAACTGACTTGAGAAGCAACCTTGTTTCTAATCTAAATTTAAATTTAAAAATAAAAATTAAAAAAATGAAATATCAAGAACACAGCAAAAGGAAGTAAAAAGGACACACTGTGGGATTTGCACACAGGTTAACAGACTGCACTACATTCAGACAGCCTCCTTTGTGTACATAAACTCCTTCAGGGAGCACTGGTTCAAGTGTAGTACAAAGCCTTGATTTTCCCTTTCTTCTGCTGGCACACACTTCACCTGTCACTCCTGTGGGGTAGGAGTGCACATCCCACAGGAATATCTGGGCCAAATGGCAAGAAAACATACCAGTCAACCCTGTACTAGGCAGGCTTCACTAGAGAAATAAGTTTTAAAAAAAAGAAAAGCTAAAAAATGTGTGTTGTATAATATTATTTTAACTATCTAAAGATGTGTTGCATTTGTTTATGCTGTGGAATATTACTTTAACTGTGTAAAGGTGTGTTACTTTTGTTTATGCTGCATTTGTTTGATTATGTAAAGATGTGTTGCATCTGTTTCAACTTGCCTGTCTAAGGCACCTGATTGGTTCAATAAAAAGCTGAACAGTCAATAGGTAGGCAGGAGAGGGATGGGCAGGGCTGCCAGGCAGAGAAAATAAATTGGAGGAGATATCTAGAAAGAAGAAAGGAAGAATGAGAGAGAAGAAGGAAGAGAGAATGAGGGACATGCCCAGGACAGGAAGGCAGGCAGACACCAGACACAAGAAGCAGTAAAAGTAAGATATACAGAAGTAATAAAGGTAAAAAGCCCTAAGGCAAAAGATAAAGAGAAACAAGTTAATTTAAGTTAAAATAGTTAGCCAGAAATGTGCCTAAGGTAGGCTGAGTGTACAAAACTAATAAGTCTCCATGTCATGATTTGGGAGCTGATTGATGGCCTAAAAGAAAAAAATCCTGGTGTGTGTGTGTGTGTGTGTGTGTGTGTGTGTGTGTGTGTGTGTGTGTGTGTTATACTCATGTATATGTGTTTGTGTGTGCAATTCTGTGTGTATAGATGTGCATATACGTTAGTCATCTTCTACTTGTGTTTTGAGACAGAGTCTCTTTCTGAATCTGGCTCTACAGCTGTCCCATCAAGCCTCAGGAATCCTCCTGTCTTGGACTCCCCACACCCACACCCAGCCTTGGGGTAACAGGTACACACTGCCATGTCTGGCTTTTAATATGGATGCTATGGATCCAAACTCATGTCCTCAATTCTTCTGTGACAAACATTTCGCTGGCTGAACCATCTCCTTAGTCCCTGTATTTTAGTTGTTATGAGTCCAAAAGGTCTCAAAGCTGCATAGATGGTGTGTTTTCTCCAGTGCAGTGCTGTCCTGAACCACAAAAGGATACTGCAGTAGGTCAATAGCCCCCTGGTCAATTTTGTTCATGGTGTTGTATACAAAGATGCTACTGAGAAGGATTGCCAGTGCAAAGATCTGAGTATCACTCTTTTCATCAATCTAGAAAACAGAGCAAATTTGAGTTAGGTTTAGGGCATTCTTGGGTGAGTATCACCACAAACAAAATGTTGATATACAGACATTAAACAAAACAGAAATCATTTGCAAGCATGCATTTTGCATGCTTTTCTCATTTGGTAATTTGATACTGATTCATTCCATTGCTAACTCACTACTCTTTTTTCGAATGTCTCTTAGAAAGCTTCAAAATGAGTAAAAGTAGTGGGGCAACCAGAATATTTAAAATAGTTTTACAGGCAAAGCAAAACTGCTTTATGTGCATGGTACATATATCTGTAATGACTTATTACTACCCTTAAGCTGATCTCATTAACAGTCTTCTCTCACTAAGACAATACTGAAGAATGAGTTTATAACTACTTTTCCCAGGATGCAGATTGAGTGAATCAAGTACAAATTATGGTTTGTCATCTGTGAATCTTGACAAATCAAAAAAAATGAAGAAAAAGCTATCAAAAGCTTTTTCGCAATGGCTATTCAAGAAAAAGTTCTAGCTATGTCCAAGAACCAGCCCATGCTGATTCACAAAAGGCACATCTCTCCAAGTCCACATTGGACTCCACATTGGAAGCTTGAAGCCAATTATGATGGGAACTTTGGGGGAAAAGTGAAGCGCTGCAGACTCAAACTCTTTATTCATGGTTAGTGGTGTGTTAATGCTTATCAGTGGGCAACTAGACAGTGCCGGTGTGGCCACTGTGTCCATAATGAGTCAGAAAAGACAAACGGAAAAACACGTGGAGAGACTTCTTTTTTGTCAAAACCATGGAACTAGAGGTGCTACAGGTATGATTTAGGCAACTCAGTCTAAGTAGCAGCCAACTATTAGCACAAGCTCTCTGCAAGACAGGTTTATAACAGTGATTTTAATCCCACCATGTTTCAGTACTTAGTTCATCATTACTCTACTACCCGCAGTGCTGAGTCTACCTTATGAAGAGATTTTCTCACTCCATGTATCAAGCTCTCACCATTAAAAATAAAGGGGAGAAAAGTACACTGAGGTCAACTGGAAATACCAATTTTATGTGTGGGGAGCAGAGAAATTCCTGTACTAAGAGTATTTAAAGACACAGGGAGATAAATCTGATAAATCCAATGCAAACAGAGTCCTCTCTCCTTACCTTCTCCACATCTCCCAGGCCCTCTGTGTCAAGGAGAACTACGGTGTGGTCTGGCTTCTGGGGATGAGGGACACACCACATCCAGATGCCCTTGGTGTGAGACTGCACAGTGGATCCAACAGAAAAGCCTGAAAAGCAAAGTGGGTGATATTGATGCAAAGAGGGATCTGAAATTCAGGAATTCCCCTGAGAATTTAAGCTACGGTGAAAGGGAAACAAGATGATGAGACAGTAGAAAGGACAAGTGATGATCTAAATGGGCAAATAATATTAGTGACTTAAAGTTGGGATCTGGTGTTCTTTTTAAAAAACACAATTTCATGCTTCTAAAAACTTTATAGTTTGAATGTATTTCATTGAATTCATTTCATTGGTGACTTACTTCTTATAAAGGAAATATATTTTGCTTTTCTGGGGAAGATGTTGAGGAATAAACACATGCTAAGTCTCAGATAGCGAGCTTCCCTTTCACTATCAGAAGATGCAAACAGTAGCTGTGGCACAAACAGTAACTTTCAGGACCCAGACCTATCCCCCACTTCCTCTCCTCACGCTCTGAGCTGGATGCTCACAGTGTGGATGGATAGAGGGGACCCAACCAGTTTGTTGGTGTTGCTCACCTTTCTCCTTGCCAGCCAGCTTGTTCATCAGGTAGGATTTGCCTGTACGGTAGAGGCCCACGATGGCCACCACCACCACAGGCTGTGTGATGGCAGACAGAATCTTCAGGGCTTCCTGGTTGGCCACGAGCTGTTCCCCGCTGTTCCCAATGAGGCATATGGGTTCTGGCATGTGGGTCTCTGGAGCCATATCTAAGATGCTACTTTGTCTGCAGGGGAAGAAATGGAACGACCTGAAACTTCTAGTGTTTAAAGAAAGACATTTTACCCACTGAATCCTGGAACAAATTACCTGTTAGCATTTCCTGAGTTTCTGAAAACTAAAAACTAAAAATAAACAGAAAATTACAATAGTTTCTGCCTCTTCATAGACTTATAATAGCATGTCCTGCCTCCTCTTAAGTGCTTGATAGACACGGGAAACCCATATCTTTCGCCTACCTACTGACAACTTGAGCCTAGCTTATCCCATTGACTTCTGGCTTGCTAATGTTTCTGGCTTACACCTACTGGTATCCTTGTATTGACTGTTACTTGTCACTATACTTGCTGCCTTTTTCTTACTCAGCTATACGACCAAACTCTACTACTTCATTGCCACCAAGCCATAATTCTAACATATATCATTTTCAAAGAAATTACCCATTTACTTATTAAAGCTATACTTTAAAATAAAACACCATGTCTTTACATAGTTATGAATGTCCCAAACTTCAAAACATGATCATTTTGTAATTGGCAAAAAATTGAAAAGACATCATTGCCGGTACCCTGACAATTGTCTAACAAAATAGGTTAAGCGGAATGATAAGGGTAACGCATGCTTTTCGGCTTCACTTATCAGGGGAACAGCTCTCTTCCATTTTAGTACTGACTGTGTAATAGAGGAGTTCAAAAGCCATGCTCTTCATTGAGTTCATTTTTCATTACAAAATATTAACAAGAAAAGATCTGAATTGGTTGCACCAGTAGTCATAAAAAGTGTGTTTTGTTGTTGTTGTTATTGTTGTTGTATTTAATGATCATAAAGACACTTTTTTCTCCTCTTGTTAAGAACCGGGGCAGGCAGTGGAAGATTCACCACAGATGTTGCCACAGCAAGGCACAGACATTAGTAAGTGCCTAGTGCAAGGCCATGCAGGAAAGCAGTGAACTGAGAATCGTATGCCAAGTTCCTGTCCATTCTAACCATTTCTGGTGTGATATTGCTACCCTGTATCAGTAGAATTCTGGTTGCCTTATTTATACACAGAAGGGATTAAAGTGATATTTTGCAGATTATATAGATGTAGGAAGCTGTCAGTGATGATCTACAGTTAGCTAGGACAATAAAGGTGATATCTACAAGTGAGGTAGAGCCTTAGAGGCACTTGTGTTTTTGGATGATGTCAATAATGGAGGAAGAACCTAGTATGAGTGAATTTCCAGCCTTTATGAAGAACATTCATACTGTGTGTCTCTGGTAATCATAGCATTTTACATGTTAGCACAAAATGTTATCTGAATAGAATCCTTAGTGCTTTTTACTGGAGCCAAATCTCTGATATCATTGCATATTTAATGTTCTCTAGCCACAATCTTAAATTCACTATTCTACTTTGGATAGCTCAGCTTATGACTCAGGAATACATTCTCTGTAATTTGTTAGAGTCCCACAACGTTTAGGGAACTAGAGAGATGACTCAGCTGTGAAGCACATCGACTGCTCTTCCAAAGGACCCAGGTTTGATTCCAGGAACCTACATACTGGCTCACAACTGTCTGTTACTCCAGTTCCAAGGAAGCTGATGCTTTCATCTGGCTTCCATGGGCACCAGGCACACATATGTTTCACAGACAAACATGCAGAAAAAAAACACTCATATACATAAAATAAAAATAATATTTAAACTATTTTTTAGAATCACATTTTGACTTTGTGGTGAGTTAGAATTGATTTCCAGTCTCAGCCTTGCAACTGATTAGCATTATGACATCACTCAACTCTTTCAGCCTACTTCCTACAAGCATTTACATCAGTAAAGGGCTAAGATGGAGAGATGGCTCAGTGGTTAAGAGCACTTGAGACTCTTGCAGAAGACCTGGGTTGGCTGAAACTACATCAGGTGAGTCACAACTGCTTGCAACTCCAGTCCCTTGGGACCTGATATTCTTCTCACTCCCATTTGATGTAAATAAATACACTGAGGCACAAACACATAAATAAAACAATTGCTTTTTTAAAGGGAAGCAAGAAAGCTTCACAGCAGGGTTGCAGGGGGGAGGGAACTATGGAGAAGAGAAGTGTCAAGAAATCTGAGAGAAAATGCTGAGGAGTTCTAGGGACAAATTTCTGGAAGAAAACAGATCATTGTAGCTATGGTTTTAGCTCAAGTTTTGCATTTTTATTCTTATTTGCTTTTCCCTCATTTTGTATTGCTTCTGGTCTGAGTTTGAAGAAAGGGGGAGAAAAGTACTCATTTAGCAGCTAACAGCAATATTTAAATATGACCTGCATAAGGGATGTGACAGGGTGAGAAGTTAAAACATAGCCGGACCACAGTGAGTGGTCCTGGTGGGCAATTTCTGAGTGAATCGATATATAAGAGTAGGGACAACATCGCAGCTGAGACAGACTCCAGCACAAAAGGGGTTAAAAACTGAGTGACTGTGAAGGAAAAGCAAACATGGACCCTTCAGGAGATGAGACTGCTCAAAGCTAAAAGCCCTCTGCTGTTTTCAGAAAGCATTTTCCCTGCACACCGTGGAGTTTCACATTTCATTTTTCTTTCATTTTTGTTTTCTCTTCAGCAACTTAGCTATTGACATTGCAACTCCTGCTTTGCTCTTCCTCGTGCCAGTGGGGCAATTAATTGCCTGCTGTCCTAGAAAACCCCAGGCCACAGACTGAAAGGGGCATGGGTTTTAACAAAGACAGAAAACTTCAGCGGTGATAAGGGATGCCAAGAAGTTGTAAGGGATCAAGGGAGGCAAAACGGCTGGAGGGTATCCCCAGCTTTCAGCCTGCTCCCCACCCAGGCTGCTCTCTCACTGTCAGTTAGCAGAAGTGGCACTGATAAACACTCTGGCTGCCAGATGAATAATCGTTTGTCTGGCAACACTCCAATTGAGTCTTCACTAGAACTGATTCGGCATCCCCGGCTAAGAGCATCCAGTCCTGGATAGAACATTTAAAAAACTAAACCATAAAAGTCTCTGCCCAGCCATGCCTGATCTTACCTTAACAAAGTTGAGGCGGCAAGACGAATCAAGAGCTGATAAGAGCTGCTTCCAAGAGGACTTTGCAAGAATGCAAGCGTGCTTGTTTCTCATAAATACTGGCCAGCTCTTGGAATTTCCTTTCTCCTCCCAGCTCTCTGGCAGAGATCTTGAATATGAAATGCAAGCATAGGAAATGCTAATGGGATTCTCCAAACTGAAATTTGAAACTAGAAACTGAAACTATACAAATTCAGACTATTCAGTTAAAGGGTGTTGCCTCGTGGAAGGCTTGAATGTTACTGATTTCCCAGAAGTTGTGCATGGTTGCTGAAACAGAATTTTGAAATCTTTTGTGATTATTCCAAGCACTGTTTATTTTATTTCTTTTGTAACTAGGGTAATATTTTACCTGATTTGGAAGTGGATACCTTTTGAGGGCACACCTCACATACTATTTGAGAACTAATTTCTTGTGATTCTATAGGATAGAATTTATTTCATGGGCAATAGGTTGACCAAGGAGCACACGGTCTCTTTCATGGGTTCTTAAATCCCATATATAAAAGAAGTAAAAACAGGCTTAAAAGGAAAGTTGAGGACAATTTTATAGGAATTCGAAAGAAAAAAAAAGCAACAGGGGAGGCAGAGAGCAGATCTCAGCAGGTAACAAGGGAGAGAAAGATGGGTAAAGAAAAAGAGTAAGACATGCTTTCCAGGTTAGAGAACATGCTTTGAGGCAGGCTCAGCAGTCAAAGTCTGTAAGCATCTGCATGGGGTGGGGATGTTTCTTCAGGCAGAGAATGAGAATGCCTAGAGCTTCAGGGTAACATGCAGAGGACTTTGACTGCTAACCAAAAACAGGAAAATAGAAAGAGGGGAAAGAAAGTTACACTCTCTACTGGGAGGTTGATTAGCATCTACACTGGGTGAAAGGTTTCTGGTGTATACAAGCAGTTATTTCATTGAGGGAATAGTTATTCCACACAATCTTCATACATCTGCAAGCATAGCATGTGTCTGAAGTTGTAATATTTTGAGGGGTGTTTTCCCTCCAAGGCGACAGATAGGATTACTGAAAAGAACTCTTAAGAAAGGGAACTACAGGCACTGTGAGGAACCACCTGAGGCCTGGGGACTGCACACTGAGGTTCTCATGCCTGTGGGATACAACCCACCAAGAGACTGCTAGTATCCTAGTCCCTCTCTCCGCCTGTGGGACTAGGTAAGCCTGGACCTGTTTCAGGCCTGAATTCCAGTGCCCTGCCAGGAGCCAGTTGAGGTCTGGGACTGTGCACTGAGGATGCTATCCCCATCCCAGTGGGGTCCAGCCCACCATGAGAATGCCAAGGCTCTGGTACTGGACCACCTCCATCCACAGGAAGAGGAGAGCCACCAGAATATTGGGCCTGCTTGCACCCAATGGAAGGGAACATTGGGTCCGAATCCACCAGGAGAGGAAGAGGCTCCTTCTGCACCCACTGGAAGAAGGGATGGGAAGAAGACAATATAAAAACAAACTCACAAAAGAAAAACCAATATGACACCGCCAGAATTGAGACTTCATCATGGTGGATTTCTCCTGTGATGAATATGAAATGACCTCCTTCATCTCTTCTGATTGATTTTAGTTTAAAGTCTAATTTGTTAAATATTATGATTGCTACCCTCATTTGTTTCTTGGGTCCATTTGATTGGAAAATCTTTTCGCAACCCTTAACTCTGAAGCAGCATCTGTCTTTGAAGCAGTGGTGTGTTTCTTATATGCAGCAGAAGGATGGATTTTGTCTTTGAATCCATTCTGTTAGCCTTTGTCTTTTTTTCTCAATATATGTTTTTATTTAAATTAGAAATGTGAATGTTTCACATGTCAGTCCCAGGTCCCTCTCCCACCCCTCCTCCATTGTCCCTCCACAGGCCCCCAAGCGCCCCACCCAATCCCCACATCATTCCCCAGGGAGAGTGAGGCCCTCCTTGGAGGGATCTCCAAAGTCTGTCATTTCATCCAGGGCAGGACCTAAGCTCTTCCCCATGTGTCCAGGATGAGAGAGCATCCATCTATTTGGAATGGGCTCCCAAAGATCATTCATACACCATGGTCTACTACCCAAGGCCCAGTGATTTCTGTGGCCTCCTCACTGACACTACATTCATGGAGTCTAGATCAGTTCCCTGTTGGCCTCTCAGCCATCAGTCTGGGATTCAAGAGCTCCCCCTTATCCGGTAAGCTGTCTTAGTGAGTTTCACCATCATGGTCTTGACCCCTTTGCTCATCACTCCTCCATCTCTGTCACTAGGTTCCAGGAGTTCAGTTCAGTGTTTAGCTGTAGGTATCTGTCTCTGCTTCCATCAGTCACTGGATGAAGGTTCTAGGATCACTTCTCGGCCTTTTGGCTAAGATCGAGTGTAGTATCTGTTCTTATCAGATGAGCAATTTAAATAGCCCTAGAATCCCTAATGAAATAGAAGCATTCATCAAAAATCTCCCAACCAAAAAAAGGCCTAGGACCAGATGGTCTCAGTGTAGAATTCTACCAGAAATTCAAAGAATGGCTAATACCAATTCTCCTAAAAGTATGCTATGCAATAGAAGCAGAAGGGTCATTGCCAAGACACACTAAGAAAGACAACTTCATGTCAATATCCCTCAGGAATATCTATGCAAAAATACTCAATAAAATATTGGCATTTTGAATCCAAGAACACATCATAAAAATTATGCACTATGATCAAGTAGGCATCATCCAAGGGATGCAGGGATGGTTCAACATATGAAAATCCAGCCGAGCGGTGGTGGCACACACCTTTAATCCCAGCACTCAGTAGACAGAGGCAGGCGGATCTCTGTGAGTTTGAGGAGGCCAGGCTGAACCGACAGCCTCCAAAACAATACAGAGAAATCCTGTCTCGTAAAACCAAAAAAAAAAAAGAAAAAGAAAAAGAAAATCCATCAGTGTAATCCAAACAAACTGAGAAACAAAAAAATCACATGATCATCTCACTAGATGCAGAAAAAGCCTTTGACAAAATCCAACACCCCTTCATGATAAAGGTCTTGGAGAGATCCGGAATAACAAGAACATACCTAAACATAATAAAAGCAATATACAGTAAACCAACAGCCAACATCAAACTAAATGGAGAGAAACTCAACACGATTCCTCTAAAATCAGGAACAAGACATGGCTGGCCCCTGTCTCCATATCTCTTCAATATTGTTCTTGAAGTTCTAGCTACAGCAATAAAACAACAGAAGGAGAACAAATTACAAAAGAACAAGTCAAACTTTCACTATTTGCAGATGACATGATAGTTTAAATAAGTAATCTGAAAAACTCTACTCTGGAACTCCTACAGTTGATAAACACATTCAGCAAAATGGCAGGATACAAGATGAACTCAAAAAAATCAGTAGCCCTACTATATACAGACCATAAAAGGGCTGAGAACGAAATCAGAAAAACATCACCTTTGTAATTACCACAAACAACATAAAATATCTTGGGGTACCACTAACCATACAAGTGAAAGACCTTTATCACAAGAATTTTGAATCTTTAAAGAAAGAAATTAAAAAAGATACCAGAAAATGGAAAGGTCTCCCATGCTTTTGGATAGCTAGAATCAACATAGTAAGCATGGCGATCTTGCCAAAAGCAATCTACAGATGCAATGTACTCCCTATCAAAATCCCATCACAATTCTTCACAGACCTTGAAAGAACAATTCTCAACTTTATATAGAAAAGCAAAAGACCCAGGATAGCCAAAACAACTGTGAACAATAAAGGAACATCCAGAGGCATCCCCATCCCTGACTTTAAGCTCTAATATAGAGCTACAGTCCTGAAAACAGCTTGGTATTGGCACAAAAATAGACAGGTAGACCAATGGAATCGAATTGAAAGCCCTGATATTAACCCACACACCTATGAACACCTGATTTTTGACAAAGAAGCTAAAATTTTACAATGGAAACAAGAAAGCATCTTCAACAAATGGTGCTGGCATAACTGGATGCTAGCATGTAGAAGACTGCAGATAAATCCATATCTATCATCATGCACAAAACTTAAGCCCAATGCATCAAAGACCTCAACATAAATCCAGCCACACTGAACCTCTTAGAAGAGAAGGTAGGTAGTACCCTTGAACCAATTGGTACAGGAGACAGCTTCCTGAATATAACACCAGTAGATGCACATTCATACAACAATGACATCTGTTCAACCATGTTCATAGCAGCATTGTTTGTAATAGCCAGAACCTGGAAGCAACCTAGATGCCCCTCAACTGAAGAATGGATGGAAAAATGTGGTATATTTACACAATGGAGTACTACTCGGCGGGAAAAAAAAACAATGGAATGTTAAGAGAAGCTTTTTCTTTGCTAGCCGCTTTGGTTTATTCCCCGCCAGCCGCCTGGGCTCTAGAGCCGCATGAGTCCCAAATAAACACACAGGAGGCTATATTCATTATGAAGCTGTTGGCCTTGCTTGTCTCTTACTGGCTAGCTCTGCTTTAAGTAATTACTCCATAATTGTTAATCTAAGTATGTCTCTTACCGGAGAATAGTTCTGGGCTCCTACCCCCATGGCGGTTACATGTTGACTCTCTTGTCTTTCTCTTTCCCAGAATCCTCCTCGACTCCTAGTCCCTCCTATCTAGGTTTTCTATAGGCTCAACAGTACTTTATTGACAAATAACAGGACTTCCCCAACAATGGAATCTTGAAATTTGCAGGCAAATGAATGGAACTACTACCTGAGCAAGGTAACCCAGTCACAAAGAGCAAAAATGGTACGCACTCACTCATATATGGATTTTAGACATAGGGCAAAGGAGTACCAGCCTACAATCCACACCGCCAGAGAAGCTAGGAAACAAGGAGGATTCTAAGAGAGACAGACATATATGGTCTCCTGGAGAAGAGGAAAGGGACAAGATCTCCTGAACTAATTTGGAGGGAGGGGAGGGAGTTAGAAGAAAGAGAAGGGGAGAAGAAGAGGTGAGAGGAGAACAGGAGAGAGCAGGAGGATTGAGTCAGGGGAAGAATAGAGAAGAGTAAGAAAAGAGATACCATAATAGAGGGAGCCATTTTAGGTATAAAGAGAAATCTGGCACTAGGGAAATGTCCAGAGATCTACAAGGTTGACCCCAACTAATAATAATCTA